CATACTGTATGTACAGTGTATAGATATAGATAGATATGTATATATCTATATCTATATATATATATCTATCTATAGATATCTATATATATCTATATATAGATATCTATATATATATCTATCTATCTATCTATCTATCTATATCTATACACTGTACATACAGTATGTTATAGAGGAAAATAAATTCCTGTCTTTTGCTTTTCTCAGACGTCAGTGTTTACCCCTGCTTTCGGCTCAGTGACTAATGTCCGGATCAACAGCTGCATGAGGACACCGCAGGTGCTTCGAGTTCTCCTCAACAAGTTCAAAATCGAAAACAGCCCCGACGATTTTGCGCTCTACCTCGTCCACACAAGCGGAGGTGAGTGTGAATTGTTCAGTTTGTTTCCTGTGAAGAGAAAGAAATGTCGATGAAGAAAACCCTGTTAATCGATACCTTTTTGATGGACGTGTCCATGTTTTCAGAGCGTGTGAAGCTGAAGCGGAGTGACTATCCTCTGGTGCTGAGAATCATGCAGGGCCCGTGTGAGCAGGTCTGCAAGGTGTTCCTCATGGAGGAAGACCTTGGAGAAGAAGTCACGTATGATGTAAATCACCACATTCACTGTCACGGAGATATGAACGCGTCTTCTCTTCTGTGTCTCCTATAATCCTCTGATTGACCTCGCGTTACTCTCTGTTCATGTGCTCGTTTCTCCTCCCTTCCACCAGGTGGCGCAGTATATCAAGTTTGAAATGCCCGTGCTGAAGAGTTTCATCACCAAACTGAAGGAGGAGGAGGACAGAGAGGTGGTGAAACTCAGGAGAAGGTACAAGAGAATAGTAATACTTTATATTCTCCACGAAACATCTTGTGTCTCCTTTCTGTTTTGCCTCTAATGGCCAAAGTCTTCCACATGTTCACCAGCTGTTATGAGCTTACAGAACATAGCATTGTAATCCATTCATTCTTCCTCCGTCTGCATTTGTCTGCCTGTACCTGCAGGTATACGTACCTGCGCTGTAGAATTGAGAAGGAGCTCGGTTGTCTTCCAGAGGGGGCAACGTGCATGTGATCTGCTCATCGGACCGTCAGAAGCACCACATCTGCCCAGCTGTGACCGAGACGCTGACCCAGGATCAGCTGACGAGAACACCAATGTGTGTGTTTCAGCGATTATCCTGCTCCTCCTGAACTCCTGCCTCTGCACGGAGCCTTTTTTTTTTTTTTTTTTTTTTTTTTTTTTTTTTTTTTCCAAATGATCCAATCAATGGATCCTACAGGCAAAGCGTTGACATGCCGTGTTGTTTGCATGTTAGCAGCAGTCTTCAGACCTTCTTATCTCCTTGTCATCACGTACAGAGCACACAGAAAGACGTTCCCGTGCAGAATGAGCCGACAACGAGACGCCGTGTCTTCTGTCTCGACCCTTCAGTTTGCCAGCTGATGACCCAAAACCTATTTAAAGCACAGACATCGTATAATAAGTGCCTGTTAAAAGGTTTCTCTAAGCACAAAGACACACGATGGTCCCGTGTTTTGAAGTTATAGAAGTAAGAAAGTACAACATCAGACCACACAGTCATGCTCCTTTTGTGTTCCTCTGTGTTTGAGAGTTTTTAAAATATTGTGATTGAAGGAATATTATGAATAGACTCTCAATATTATCTGGGCTGAGAAGTTCACCGCAGGGATTATTGAAGGTTGTCTGAGCAGATAATCTGTTTATGTTGTGGCCATCAGGAGACAACTGTTGAGCTTCAAGGAATAGTTTGATTTTGGGAAACATTTTCTCGCCAAGAGTTTGCTATCTGTTGTGTATTTGTATAACGGCAGCCGGTTAGCTTAGCATAGCACAAAGACTGGTAACTGCTAGCAAGTCTGGCTCTTTCTGAAGTGAACAAAATCTGGCCACCAGCACCACTAAAGCTCACATATTAATAAGTCATATCTCATTTTAATCTCTTCTTTTGTACAGACGAAACAAATAAAGTGTGTGTGAGCTTCAGAGGTGCTGGTGGGCAGATGTTGTTATTTTTAGAAACAGTGAGGCTAGCTAGCTGCTACCAGTCCTTGTGCTAAGCTATCCACCTGCTTGTGATAGCTTCTTATTTACTTTATGGTATTAATCCACTCATCAAACTCTCATCAAGAAGTAAAAATACGCTGATTCCCCCAAAAGTATTCCTTTGAAGAAAGAAAGCAGACGCTGAGGTTTTCTGGTGAGTCGTCCTCGCTTGTATTCCTGCCTTATGTAACATGACAAGAAGAAGTCATGTTGACATGTTAACAAGCACAGTAATATACCGTCTAAATATTCACAACAATATTCAATATCATTCTTCACACCATGACTCCTGGTAGGCGTTGGACTGGCTATTTTTTATTTTTTTTTTTTACATCCAACAGAGAATGACACAAGTGAAATCTCACAAGACTGTGAATTATGCCAACCGTCTTTGTTGGAAGAATGTTGTAAATGTATGAGTGAGCATTTCAAAGCAGCACAAGTTGCCTCCACTGTACAGCTCTTCGCTTTCGTCCGCTCAACGTCTCCCAGCGTTGTTCAAAGTCTCGCAGTACAAGAGAGAGAGAGAGAGAGAGAGAGCGAGAGAGAGAGCGAGCATGTTCTATTTTTAGTGACTCTTTGAAGACTTGCCTGCTTTTGTATTGTGTCTTTTACAAAATAATGATCTTTAAAGATGTTAAGAACTCATGCCATGACTTGGAAAATGTAGTTTTGTTTTTTTTCATACAATGATGTTATAAAAGAAAAGTCATCCTGATAGATGGATAGATAAAATCTGTAATCTCCCTCAGTCTTGTTCAGGTCAGTGGGGGAAAAGCCCAGCATGTTGTATAATGAGGTTTAAATCTTTTGTAATTCAGAATGACAGAGGAGAAATAACATGAGTCAAAGCTTCGGGAGAGTTCGTTAAGTGTTCTGGTTTATTCACTAAGTGGTTAAATAATTCACACTAAATTAGGACACACACACATGTACACACCCACAGAGGTATTTATGTGTGATGTCGGTGCTACAGCAGCTTACTGCACACCCAGCCAATGAGCAGGTGTGAGACAGTGATCCACTCACCTGATGGAGATTGTCTGGAGGATCACAGGCTGGTCCTGAGACCCGCTTCTCTCTGTCAGAAGAGTCTGAGCGGCCAGCGAACACCGCGTGGAAGAGGATCCTCGTCTTTGTGTCCGTCAGACAGTCGACAGGTGAGGCTGTTCATTCTCATTTATACTTATTTCATACACGCTTCTATTGAGTTCAGCGGGTTTCAACAATGTTTTCAGTGGTGGAATGTAACACAGTACATTTACTAAGTATTACACGACATGAAGCAGTACCGTACTACTAATCTACCCAATAGTACACAAAGTCGATAGTACACAAAGTATCAGAAAGGTGCTCCACATTGACAAACTGTAACATTAAAGAGCTTTACATGTTCATTAGTGATACTATATCATAATATAATGTTCAACACTTTGAAATGAGCCATTCTGAGCTGTAAGTATTTGTACTTTTGATATTTCAGCTTTGTTCTGGGGATAATACTTGTGTACTTTTACTTAAGTAACATTTTGAATTCAGTACTTCAGGATCTGAGCACTTCTCCCACCACTGCGTAGTTTCCTCATCTGACCTCATTTCTCTTGTTATTTAATTTGTCCTCCGCTACACAAATTGTGTAGACACGAGTAATACTAATACACTGGTAAACAGATCGGAGGGCTCCAAATTCACAATGAAACGTTTTTAATCCTTCTTTGTGAGTCGGCGCTGCTGCAGCAGCTTTAATCTGGGAGTCGCTGGATTATTGTCAAACTAAGTGACCTCGTGTAATTATAGCTCAACTCGTCTTTTTAGAGGACACAGATTAGACTGCGTACTGTGTTGACGGTGGAGCAAATGATGTCATGCTGCTCAGTGGTGGAAGAAGTAATCTCATTGTTTACTTCAGCACCATGTTTTAATACATAAGCAGCACTTTAGTGTTGGAGTTTGGCCAATTTTAACAGTTTTTTTTAAACTGTTGGGCACTTTAATCTATAACAATGCATTATGTTTTACAATCCGATTATATATTTTGTTTGTGTTTGCATACGTCAAACACAAGTCACTCGTAACTATAGCTGTTAAATGAATACATTTCTGTCTTAAATATGGAATATAAGTATAAAGTACATGTACTTACTGTAGTTACTTTCCACCATTTCATAGGACTATTATTACTGTATAACTGTGTTTATTACATATGTTGCACACATTCTATGATACATAACATAGTATAATATATAAAACTACTTTATCATGTTATTATGTATTGTTTATACTTACACTACATAGTGGCTGCTGGAGTTGGACGACTGGATTTATTCTGCATAAATATCTGCACAACTTTCTGATATACATTTGTTGTATATAGTATTGTATTCCATATATTGTATATAGCTTTTTAATGTCATTTCCCTAATTTCTATTTATTTCATTCGATTATTCTCTATCTGTTTAACTTTCTGTCACTCCCCTAAAGTTCTACGTTATTCTCTCTGTTCGATGGGCGTTGGGTTTAGACACTGAGACAACATTTATTTATTGCTGACAAACGTCGTATATTGGGGATTATTGCAGCAGGTCTTGCCCCACAGGTCTATAGAACCAGATCTCATCTCCTCCAGTAGATCCTAATGAGGGCGTTGGAGATTATGAAAGCCATCTGATCCTAGGTCAGCCGCGGTGTTAAATTGTTTCGCAGCCGTGACGCCGCTTGTGTAAAATGTGTTTCTCAAAGCTGGATTACGAGCCGTGATCTGTCCTGCTCTTAATTTATCAGCGACGTAAAAATAACACGCAGCCAGACTAAAGCGGCCAAGAGAACATCTCCCCATCAGGCCGTTCATGAACACCGTGTGCCTTCAGGGACCAGTACAACCTAGTACAACCAAGTACATACACTAGTATGTTCATTATCTGCAGCATTTGTGAGGCAAACATTGTACTTTTCACTCCAGTACTCTGATTTGACAGCTACATTACTCGTTACTTTGTAAATCAAGACTTCACATTTAAAGTATATGATCAACTTCTAAAACTATGAAGTATTTTTGTAGATGAATCTACTCATCAGTGTTTACATATGTAAACAAAGATCATCACCTCAATCAGCTACATTTCAAAAGATATATATTTAATATATCTAATTTATATAATAATATTACACCCTTAAATTGTCATTTTTGCATCGTGAATACTTGTACTATTGATACTTGAAGTATATTTAGCTGATAATACTTGCAGGACTTAGTTCACTTCCTATTATTACTAATTTAAAGTATTTACAGATGCTGTTTCTTAGCATATTTTTGTATAACATATTTTATTGACAGCTTACCCTTTCTTAATGTATATTTATGTATGAGTTCTTTTTTACAAGTTGTATAATAATTTTTGTTTTTTAATGCTGCTTTTTTTTTTTTATACTGTGGTTTTCTGGTTCACTGTGGACTTCTTCCATCACCGTCCAGCAACAAGAACAACAGACACAGAAAAGCGACACATTCCCTCCTCCTAATAATGTTTCCTTTGTCTTATTGTTACAGGATAAAACAATAATGTGTGTCCTGCATAAAGTCCCCCTCACAGCAGCTCTCTGCCTGCTGCTCCTCGTCACGCTGTTACCCAGCTCGGAGGCACGTGGTCGTGGAGGCTTCGGAGGTGGCCGAGGTGGAGGCTTTGGCCGAGGTGGAGGCTTCGGCCGGGGTGGAGGCTACAGACCGGTCCAGAGCGGTGGCTCCAGTGTGGGGAAAGTAGCCGGGGCAGCTGCAGCGGGCGCCATAGGAGGAGCCGTGATCGGGTCTGCCCTGAGCCGCCCCGGGTACGGTGGAGGATATGGAGGTGGTTATGGAGGGTATGGTGGTGGTTATGGAGGGTATGGTGGTGGTTATGGAGGATATGGAGGTGGTTATGGAGGATACGGAGGCGGTGGAGGCTACGGCCGCAGGCCCGGCTACGAGGCGGAGGGCTCTGGAGACATGGGGTACTATACTGGAGCGTCCAGCGGGCCCATCTACAACAGCATCATTGTGGTCATTGGCTCCCTGATGGCCCTGCTGATGGGCCACTGGGGGGCCTTCATGTAGAGCTGGAGCCGGAGCTGGGATCCCCAAAACACACACAGGTCCGAAGAAACCCTGACTAAAGAAAACAACCCTCAACCTGACCTAAAATAGTCCAATGTGACCTAAGATATGACCTTTGAATGCCGGATTGATGAAAAGATGTGTGTTTCCCTTCTACTCCTCAGTGAGTCTGTGAGGACTTCTGACCTCCACAACATGACACCGAGCTTCAATCTGCAGCTGAACAAACCTGTAGAAATATGTCAGGAATATGGTTTCCTCTCCCCCGGGCAGTCTGTTTTTTTTATACTTTTGATGATTGTTTTATGATCGATATGTCTCCGTGAAGATAGAACAGATTGGATGTGTAATTAGGTTATGTCTACCTCAACAAGTCATGTCAGGACAAGAGTTTAAGAGCAGCTATGATAATGTCATTTCTCACTGTATTTCACTATACCTTCTTATTTTAGTTTTTTTCAATCAGTTTCATATTCTATAACTCTGGACCGGTTATACTGGGACAGAGAGCATGAGCATATTAAACAGTGTATTCCAGTCTTACTGTTTTCAGTACTTTGCTTGTTTATGTATACTTTACCTAATTAAAGTATATGTTTTATGCCATTTTGTAGAATTTTATGTAAAGAGCAAAATGTGCTTCCATGTTAATTATTGTTAAAACAATAAATAACTTAGGACAAACTTTTGTGTTGGATTTTATTGTCTACGTTATTGTGAGAAGAGACGGTGTTTACGTGTTTGTTGACCACGGATAAATCCGACTTTAGGGGGAAACTGTATTCTAAAGAGCTGAAGATCTCTCAACATAAGCACCACTGCCTTTCTTGTTCCAGAGCTTTCAGCTGGATCTCATGGTCTTTAATCAGCACATCGCTCTCTGCTGCTGTTTCAAGTCCATCCTTTAAGTTGATGTAAAAAACAAAACAAAATGTACAATACATGCAATAGATTTTATGTGGGAGGCCAAATCCTAGATAGGAAGACAGATGAACAGAATTTTTAGAAAATAGGTTATTTTAGTCATGCGAGTCCAATTAGCAGCAGAGAAGAAGCCTCTGGTAGAAGAGCAGAGCTCCACAAAGGAGACGCTCAGCTGTTCAATTGCCAGCTTCACTGGCTTCACTCAGTGTCAGGGGAGGCAGGGCCACACCTGGACCAGGGCCACACCTGGACCAGGGCCACACCTGGACCAGGGCCTTTAGTTAGTCGGCAACTTATTAAATCCACTGCTTTGGATTTGCAACTCCAATGCAATAAGATTGAGGATTACGTCATTACGGAGTGTGTCAGTAATGTAATTTCCAACACTGGATATTATTATTATATCATATTATAAAATATATCAGTTCCAATAAGCGTGGTATTTGATGAACAAATGGAAACTTTGATGGGGCCTTGAAGTGCTTGCATGACTTGTCTCGGCTTCATGAGCTCACAGCCAATCAGATCACACCATTGCTCCCGTTTGCTGTCCTACAGCAACATCCAGCCGTGTTCTTTGGACCGTTCACATTCAATTATCACGCTTCACCACAAGTTCAGACCTGACACACAGAGAGGAGTCGACCCCGTCCTCAGTTAGTCCTTCATTATACGAGACAGACTTGATATGTTTCCTCTGTCTGAGTATTAGCTCCCAGTTAACCCTGCAGTGTTTCTGAAAAACGAGATTCAGATGGAATCGCCACATTTTGTAAAGTTCCCACACACAAAAGTCTGCAAGTGCACATTAGTAAAGTTTATTTGACAAGAACAAATCCAAAATGTGTGAGTCAACCCTCAGTATTCAGCAGGAGCTCCAGCAGGACAGTACATGGGACTCCACACAGTTAAAAGGCTTACGGGGCTTTTTAAAATTGGCACATCAGCATTTTCAAACACATAGAAAGTTCACAGGACACATTAAAGGTACACTGTGGAGTTTTATCAGATCCTTCCACAGTCAATGAAACCTGTTGGTTGTAATTGCAGTTCAGTGATTGAAATGTGAATCTCCTGGTTTTAGTGTTGGAAAGTCACTAAATACTTCTACACATTCAAGGTACTTGTACTTCACTTGAGTATTTCCATGTTATGCTAGTTTTCTACTTCTACTCCACTGCATCTCAGAGGCAAATATCGTACTTTTTACTCCACTGCATTTGTTCCTTTTCAGATTAAAACTCCAGAGTGTACCTTTATATGAATAGTTTTGTTTAAGTAATTAGCTTCTGTGAGAGAGAAAATCACACATCTTGATACGCGGCCTTAACAATTATAAACTCAGCTGATGTTGCAAGATCACATTCAGGAGGATTTGGAGATGACTCTCCGGCTCAGGATTAAGCAGAGGAAGGCCGAACAATGGACAGAAAGGACGGAGGACGCCAGTGTATAAAAAGTATCTGGAAAATATACGACACACTGTACTAAGCAGTACACGAGGTAAACGGTTACATACATACTCAGCCATTGGTTCCAAAGTAATTGTGTTAGTACAACAGCATGCATACTACTGTCTGTGTTTACACATAATAATAAGTACAGACAGATTGAATAATCAGTCTTTGTGGTTTAACCTCATGTATTTCATGGACCTATTTTAATATGCTAAAAGTCCATTCATGTTTTAAGCTACAAAGGAATGAGTTGACATGAATCATTACAAATAGTATTGCTCTGGATGTAAAACTCCCCGTTCAAAAGCAGTGATATTTGTACTGTATTAGTAGAGTATGTTAGACAGGTTAAAGTCCAGTATTAACTGATAGATTTAGAACACTATTCACTGTTTTCCAACTCTTTAGACTATCCTCCGACATCAACAGCCCTGGAGTTAAAATAATCGTATTTAAGAAGCCGATGTCCGTCACACAGATCGTCACCATAACCGTCTGTACCAGCGCCGCAGCTACAAATACACAGCTACTCTCTCTGGGTGCTTTTCCCTCTGATGCAAAAAAAGACCCAGTTTCCCTGGATAAAAATACGTTTCTGGTGAACACATCACAAACACAGAAAGATGAGCAGCGGGAGTGCCACTCTCTATTTCTATGGCGAGAGGTGCACACTGTGAGGAGTTTTAACACTTGTAGTTTGTTGTAATTGAATCTGTCCCGGTTAGAGAGCACGTTGAGATCTACAGTATATGGACATTAATGGGCCGGATATGTCCTCGGTCAGAAGCCTGGAGTATTAAGGACAGTAAATGGGCCCCTTTGTCTCTCAGAAGAGGAAAACACAAGAGCAGTCTGTTCCATCACTGGCTGTCTGGTCGAACCATTTCCTTTCTTTAAACACATAGTTCCACGATGAGGCACTATGCGCCAATCAAGCACACGCATGAGGATGTGATGCCTTAATATTAAAAAAAAAAAAAAAGTGGAAAATCCACACACGATAAAGAAAGTCCTCTCTCCCCAATCATTTTCCATCCCTTTAATAAACCCTCCATCACCAAAGGCCTCAGTGGAGTGACATCAGCATGTTGCTATTCAGTAGCATCAGTGTAGTACTGGTGACCACGGCTACAAACCCCAGCCAGCCCGTCTCCGGTCGCTGCACCCCATCGGTTGGCCCCTTCAGGTACCTTTCAGAGTAGACCATGTACAGCTCCATGCATCTCCTGGCCTTCACCTGCTCGATCAGAGCCGGGTAGCCGATCTCCACGATGCTGACCGTGTCGTCGTCTTCGGCGCTGCTGACAACCTGTGACGCCGGAGGCTCGGGATCGGCTGCAGGCCGATTTAGGGGGCGCGGCGGCGAAGGTGCAGAGGTCGAGGAGTTATCTGCTGCAGTGCCGTTGGTCTCCGTTGTGTTGCTGCCTGAGCCGACGTCTGGACCTGAGGCGGCAGCAGTGGTTGTATTTGTGGTAGCAGCAGCCGGGTCGTTGTTTGACTTTGGGTTCTCCGCCAGCAGAAGGTCGGTCCTCTTCATGCAGGAGTCCATGTAGCTGTCGTAGGTTTGAGGGGGCTGGCTGTACCGGTAGTCTCTGCTGTAGTCGTTGGCATCGGTGGACTTGGCCCCATACCTCCTGTACATGTAGTGGTTGTAGTAATGCTCCTCCTGGGGGTTGTGGAAGCCGAAGGGAGGACGGGGGAACCTCCCTAACCCGTAGCCCAGGGCCATCCCTGCCATAGCCCCTCCAGCTGCTGCCATCACCGCACCGCGTCCGAACCCTCTGGATCTGTCAGAGGGACGCATGCCCATTGCCTGAACCGAGTGGGAAAAGGGAGAGCCGCCACCAGCACCGTGGCCCCCATATCCATAGCTGCCCCCGTATTGAGGGCTCAGGACTTTGTTGTTCGGGTTTTGGTTGATGAATCCACCTCCATGACCACCATGACCACCGTAACCGCCATAGCCGCCATAGCCTCCTCCGTATGGGGAGCCCCGCGCTGGATACTGGTTAGGGTAGCCTCCAGCCGGCTGCTGGGGGTAACCACCCGGATTCCCAGGTCTGCCTGACTGCGGAGGGTGGCCTCCCTGATTGGGTTGTCCAGGCTGCTTGGGGTATCCACCCTGAGAGCCCGCATTATTCCTGTTGGTTCTGCCTCGGTTGGACGTGGAGGACTTCTTGGAGCCGAAGCCTTTCCCGAAGCCGCCTCCTCTCTTGGCCAGAGAAGAATGAAACAACAGGAGCGACAGACACAGCACAGAGAGTGACTCCAGCTTCATCTTCGCCCTGCAGGGAGAGGAAAAGGGAGAAAACGGTGAGGAAAATATGAGATAATAATTATACTTGGATTTATCATTGTACCCTTAAATAGTCTTGTCGTTGAGTTGCACATCACTTGAACTTTGACTTACAAGAGAGCATGCACCCAACGCTGCAGTGTACAGGAAACAACCCCTCTATATTTTGGCTACCGTTTTGGCCTTGTCTTCTGCTAACTCGAGCCAGTACACACACCACGTTATCATGTTCACCTCATTGTAGTGACAGCCTCGACATGTTTTTGCCCACCTAGTTCCCCACAGGGAACACAGAGCTGTGGGGCCACAAAATGAGGTTTCCAGGTTGGCTCCAAATAGCTCAGTGCTCTGTTACTGCAGGTGACGAGTGTCTCACGTTAGTGAGAAAAGTCTCCTTATTACAAATCTGTATCCATGAACCATAAAGAAACTTTCCGGTTTTATGAAACACACCATGAGATTATAGAAATATGTCTATCGTCAGAGGTTTTTTTCCATCTTGTTTGTATTAGAGAAGCTATCACTTCAATATATTTATAGGATTATTGTGGGCAATGATGCAAAACTGTAGTCATATTAGATGGACATGATTTTCATCAGCCTCTCTTGTATCCATCACAATATACTGTGAATCGATATCAAACTATAAGACATACCGTGAGGATTTTATTTTTTTATAACAATAAATTATCATAATTTCCCAGAGTCCATCACTCCTCGTAATGTCTGACACGTTTGGTATCTGTCGTCAGTAGCTACAGCAGCTCCTAGATGATTTCACAGTTTCAAACACGAGCATGGAGTTTAAGAATGGCTCGTGCAGTTTCAGCGTTGTGATGTCAACCAGTGGCAGCGAGTAAACTCGCGCTGTTTCCATAGCAACGCGAACACCGTCTGTGGCTGATCTGCTGAATGTTGAAATCGCCTCTCATCTCTCTACGATATGAGTCGTTGTGTGTCAAACTCACTGCGATAAACGATATTAAATTATTATCAATATAACGAGATCCGTGTCTTGTCCTCATGAGATTAGGTTTTAATAATCGTGATCAATGAGATGCTCATTAATAACCACGCGATACACGAGTCACAATGACGCGTCAGCGTTTTCCTTCTGTAAATCCAATCTGCTGTTAGTTATCGTTCATTTCGACCTTAATCTTAATTCATTTTCGGGACATAGTATTTGGTCATTTTCGTGACTGAAAATAACGACTTGTCTCTGGATGTCGGTATAAACCCGGTGTCGCTGCGACTGGACACAGCGGCAGGACCTCAAGGTATCGCGGTGGGGATGGTGCTGATGCAACAATAACCAGTAAAGAATAATCCAGTCCGCTCCGGAGACCAGCTCCGATCAGAAGCGACCCAGACCGGGATTCCATCAGTACCCGCTGTGTTCACACCAGACCGCGTGTAGACAGAGCATCACTATAATGTCACCTGTCAATGATGACAATGTCCTTCATTCCAATACAACATGGCTTCAATAAACTATCGAGTAATTTAGCTACTACGCATTTTTTTATTACAGACAGAGATGGTCGCGTGAGGTAAATAACAATGTGCATTTTATTCCTCAGAGCAGCATTACATGCAGAGGCTGCAGTGTGTGTAGATAAAGGAGCAGCATTACCGTGATGGTGACCGTGTGGATTGGTCCGTGTTATTGAGCCTCAGCAGCGTCCCGGGTCGTCTCCTCCACTCGAGTGTTGATGTAGCGCGAGCTCACACGGCTTGAGTTAAGAAACTGGTTAAATCCGTATGACGTCACGCGGCACGAGGGACGTGGTCGCACAAGCTCCGCCAATGAACCATCGATTTTTCATCACAGAAAAAAATGGATTCAAACAATTTATTTCATCAATCCTAGATTGTAAAAATAGAAACATAACACTTATTTATTGATTTAAGATTGCTGTCAGTGTTTTGATTCCCTGGCATTTTCTTTTTTTGTTAAATGTTTATAGCACTGCTTGTCAAAAAACGAAAAAGGTCATATAAAACGTAAACAAGCTCGTTTGAACCCGGCTGTGAACAGTCTGGTGGGGTGTCTGTTCTGAACCGGTTCTGAACGTAGACGGTAGATTCTGAACTGTCTCGTGCATAGACACAGAAGGCCGGGGCGGGGTTTCACCGACACATTTCCCAGCATCCTCAAACCTGTGATGACGGCGATTTCATTCGGAAAATCACCACACGGAAATTTGTAGTATTGAGCAAAACGTGGTGGTAAAATGTAATCAATTGTACAAATTAACTAAATTACTGTACTTAATTACAACTATGAAGTACTTTACATGCACATTTAATCCCCTTATCCTGTACATTCCAGGACGCTTTGAACTCCACTTCCTTAATGTGAAAACAAAATCTGTTGCGTTGCAGATTGAAACTGCAGATATAAAACATTTTAAAATGTGATGCAAGGCAGTGCAGTACAAGAGAGTGTAAGATTTAGATTAAACATTAAACTGCTGCTGGCGTGTTTTTGTATAAAAACCAAGCCAAAACCTGAAAGGGAACCTATAATGCGTGTTTTACTTGAGGTAAAAAGTGCTGATAATACCTCTGTACTTTTATGCAGGAACTGTACACGGGACATATTCACTGTTATTATGGGGTAGTGTAGGTGGTGGACCCAAACGCACGCACACAGCAGGTTTACTCCAGCCAAGACTTTATTTAAATGTGCAGGAGGAGTCAAAGAATGAACAAACAAAAACCAACTGTCCAGCAAATTAAAGTCACTCCTCTTTCACCACCGGAGTCGGGAGGGAAGCTCAACCGAGGCCGGGACAGGTAGCCTCCGGAGTCGGGAGTGAAACTCAACCGTACTCAATACCGGAGGAACAAGACGGCGCGACTGTGTGGAGGCCCGAGGTCCGACACAGCAAACAGAATGCACAGGTGATCCTCCAGGGATCGACGCTGAACGGCAAAGGAGCAGAAAAACAAACGGATAACGATCTTCACTGAATCGTGTTCAAACTTACGTGACCAGACTGGTAACCGGACGGACTGACGACGCACCGGTGAAACGCCGAGGTATTTAAACCAGCCAGCGGCGATCACTGGAATGAGCCACAGCTGAGCCTAAGGAGAGAGGCGTGAAGTGGGCGGAACACGGGGGTGGAAACTGTAGGCTGACACAAAAAACAAAACATAAGCACATGGCCCACAATAACAAAACAGACAGGGGAAAAACAGAGGAGCACACACTAGGAGCAGACAGGGATCCTAACTACTGTGGTATTGTGGCATTGCCACTTTTATTTACATAAAAGATGTAAATGCTTCATGCTTTAATTAGCGATGACCCTCAGAAAAGGAAGACCCCCAGAGTCTCATTACACACGATGCCAGTTTCATTCATTTTTAATGTACTCTGTAAAAAGAGACCCACTGACACGATGCAGACTAAACCTTTTAGCCACTTGCTGTTCAACTCAGAAGATCTCAGCTGCTGGTTAGCAGCATTGTGTTTTAGTCTTAAAAGCAGCGTGCAAAGAATTTCAATAGAGGTAGCTGAGCTCGGTAATGGTTGCTTCAGGTGCCAGAATACAGCTGACGCCAACTGCTAAACCACCGAAAGTCCACCATTCAAAACTCTAATAATTAACGTATTCTGTGAAGCCATAACCACCAGTTTCTATAAAATCAAAATCTCTTAATTCAGTTAATAATTCAGACCAACAAAGCCCATTAGTTATGTGTTTTGGTTATGGTGTCTTTATTGCAGTTATAATGCTACATTCTCATATGAATATATATTTTTACTACTCTTATAAGAAACACATGCAGACAATAGCAATATTTTCACAGAAAAATCAAACTAAATTAACAGGATTTCACTTTCATTTGTACATCGGATGTCATTAGTAAATCAGCATTTTACCAGAGAGGGGAGAGAGGCAACATATTGGATGGATTTAGATTTTTTTTTTTTTTTTTACAATAATTATCCACCATACATACATATTTAGAAAAAGTTTTAAGTAGGGTTCTGATTGAATTTGTTATATTTTAATAAACTGTATAATTGTATGACCTGTATGAATTGATATAATCCATTACAATTACACTCAATGTAAAACCTCTCTGTCTAAATCACCAATATTATTCATCTTCTGATATGAACTATATTCTTATTATCTAATATAATCACTCGTTTCCGCTTTGGACTGTCCTTGAATCAGGCAGGACTGCACCATGAGTTAGAACAATTACTATTAGCACGTCCTCATTATAGCAGAGCTGTTTATGTGCTCAGATCATCACCATGTTCCAGCCTCAGGGTACAGACTAATCCCTGGACAGTTGGAACAAATAAAACAAGACTGAGTCTACAGCTACAGTATGCTCGTGTCTCTGTGCTGTCCAGAGGGTCCAGTGGTGCTTTGAGCTGGATGCTAGTGTCAGCCTGCTAACATGCTCACAACGTTTAACATAATTAACATTCATATAAGAAAAATGCATACATGAAAATTTGTGGCTGGTCATCCGCGAAACTCTGATGTCTGAGTGCATGTGTATGCAGCAAGAGAGGACCAAAGCCCCAAAGAAAAATGACACATTTTTGTATTCTATTCAATGCTTTACACGTGTGCCACAATAATGTAATGTTTTTGAGTTGAAATATATTCATCTGGTGGGCTTTTCCAAATAAATGTTAATATATGTGATTGTTTGAGATTAAATCCATTTATAGCATATATAGATATGTATGTATTTCTCTAGATCTGCCACTGCCATGTTCACCATCTTAGTTGAGTGTGTTTCCATGCTAAAATTTGCAAGTTCAGATGAGTCTGGAGATCACCAAAGTTCTTACGATTCATCATGGGAATCTACCCAAAGCTCATCAAGATGTGTTTCTCTAAATCAAAACAAATTGGCCTCATGTTATTGGGATTCATCCAACTGCCACTTTCATCCATAGAGCCCCGCTGTGTACTTAATATCTTTAACACTTTCTTTATTGTACACCTCATTTCCAAACACTCTCCATCACTTTAACTTAATGAAGGACTCAGCTCAGCAGCATTATGTTGCTATTCAGCAGCATCAGTGTAGAACTGGTGATCACAGCTATTAGACATCCAAAACCCGTCTCCAGTCCCTGCACCCCACCGGTGGGGCTGGGCTCCGTCGTTTTCTTCAGGTACCTGTCAGAGTACACCATGTACAGCTCCACACATCTCCTGGCCTTCACCTGCTCGATCAGTGCCGGGTAGCCGATCTCCGCGATGCTGACTGTATCACCATCATCATCATCATCAGTAGCAGTTTGTCTGAGAACCCGTGAAGCTGGAGGCACTGCGTCGGCTTTAGACTCATTTAGAGGGCGCGGAGTCGAAGGTGTGGTGGTCGAGGAGTTTTCTGCTGCAGTGCCGTTGCTCTTTGTTGTGTTGCTGCCGATGCCAGCGTCTGGGGCAGCGGAAGTAGTTGTGTTAGTTACAGGAGTACCTGTAGTTGTGGTGGTTGTAATTGTAGTTGTGGTAGCAGCAGCCGGGTTGTTTTTTGGCTTTGGGTTCTCCGCCGGCAGAAGGTCGGTCCTTTTCATGCAGGAGTCCATGTAGCTGTCGTAGGTTTGAGGGGGCTGGCTGTACCGGTAGTCTCTGCTGTAGTCGTTGGCATCGGTGGACTTGGCCCCATACCTCCTGTACATGTAGTGGTTGTAGTAATGCTCCTCCTGGGGGTTGTGGAAGCCGAAGGGAGGACGGGGGAACCTCCCTAACCCGTAGCCCAGGGCCATCCCTGCCATAGCCCCTCCAGCTGCTGCCATCACCGCGCCGCGTCCGAACCCTCTGGATCTGTCAGAGGGACGCATGCCCATTGCCTGAACCGAGTGGGAAAAGGGAGAGCCGCCACCAGCACCGTGGCCCCCATATCCATAGCTGCCCCCGTATTGAGGGCTCAGGACTTTGTTGTTCGGGTTGTAGTTCATGTGTCCACCTAGATAACCTCCATAACCACCATATCCGCCCTGACCACCATAACTGCCGTAACCTCCTCCGTATGGGGAGCCCTGTGCTGGGTAACCTCCAGCTGGGAATCCTGGTCTGACTCCCTGATTAGGGTAACCTCCCTGATTAGGGTAGCTTCCTTGATTAGGGTAACCTCCTTGATTAGGGTAACCTCCCTGATTAGGGTAACCTCCTTGATTAGGATAACCTCCTTGATTAGGGTAACCTCCCTGATTAGGGTAACCTCCTTGATTAGGGTAACCTCCTTGATTAGGGTAACCCACTGGTCGGCCTGGTTGCTGAGGCTGGCCTCCCTGGTTGAACTGTTCAGGCTGTTTAGGTTGTTTGAGGGTTCCACCCTTGGGCTTCCTGTCCAGACTATCTGTTTTGGGGGTCTTCTTAAAGAGACTTATTTTCCCACCAAATCCTCCTGTTCTCTTGGCCAATGAAACATTCGTATGACCCAAAAGAAGGGCCAGACACAACAGATGTGCTACAGTCAGCTTCATCTTTTGAGCTGCAGAGAGGATCCATGGACAGAAACATAAAGAGAACAAGAGGTAGAGAAAATAGAAGGAGAAAAGTTAGATTGTATTATTTAAAATGTAAGAAGTCTTCCTGTTGAACACAGCATATTATCTACATTAAAATAGAATACATTAAAACATCACATGGCAACGTTTCTGTTTGGAGAGGATATATTGACCTAAATCATGTTCACCACACTCCATTTCATTATTTACACTTACATCAGCAACCTTGAAGTGTTTTTGCACGTGTCACTTATTCCATAGCAGGTGTTTTCTGGCTTTTTCCGTCATTGTAGCACAAACGTAACGAGAATAGCAAGTCAATATTTGCATTAGAGGACTAAACGTTGTGTATCAGGTGACTACCAGCGCCGGGTTTTTATTGTATTTCATTTGATGGTCATGGGCGCTGAACACATTATATTATTGTGCACCTGTTAGCTTGTAGTCCTTTAAGGTTAGTTAGACATGAAGCAACACGACCAGCTGCCAGCCTTAAAATAGCACAAGGAGGCGGCTAAGTGTTGCTCTTTACACGCTTGTTTTTAATTATATAATGTTGTTTACTGGAAAACACAAGCTGTGGAAAAAGTTATGACACAACTCTTAACTGAAAAACTGCATATTCTTGACAACGTGGACACATAACACTGACCTTGTCACGACACTGTCCTCTCCACCGACGTCTCTCTCTTTAAGAGACGGTGCCTCCTGAACTTTCTGTATGACCCTCCTCCTCGTCCTTCTTCTTCTTCTTCTTCCTTTGAGGGTAACATATTTTTAAACCCCTCGACCATAAACGGTAATCTATATTTTTTAAATGGAAAGATGGTGTTTAGCTGACAGCGAGTATACCGACAGAGTAAGTTAATTGTTGGTCGTGAAGGTTAACGTTTATCAAATTAGTATTTCAATTTGACCTAAATAATTGGCTGTGGCCTTAGCTTACCTTGAGTGACGAACGTTGTTTAAACGTTACTTAAACGTTATGTGTGTCAAAGTCGGACATATTTGAGTTTTGGGGGTAAAAGTAACGAGATTGAGAGTTGTATTTACTAACTTTTCATATTCCGTGGGATTTGAACGCAACACAGGTGATGGTGTGAATCAAAGGGTCATTTCACACTTAAGATGTCTGTCTGGCTCTGAAATGTCTCGTTCCAACTTTTATTCTAATACAATAGAGGTGAATATTTGTTTATTATTATTCATTTGTTTATTAAATCAATAGCAGAAAACATAACTGCAGATGAGTTACAGCGTATGGTTAATGTCTGCCTGTTGTCCCTGGCCACATGTTAAAAAAGCACCCCAAAATTACACATCTTACAACATGAAAGTATTTCTTACAAAATAATAGATATTGGCGGAATGTAACTAAGTCGGCTACATTAACTGAAGTTACTGTACTTTGAGTATTTCCATTTTATGATACTCCATTATATTTTGATATATACAGTAGATGTTATCGACTCTCCTGTGACTGCAGCTGTAGACTTGGATTCTTGTGCAGATGGTGCCACCTGTTGGTCATGATAAGGAATACATTTACAAATCCTGACGCGAGTCTTTCTGTGAACACAGGTAGCCACGTGACCTTAATATGTGGCCAAAAAAAACATTAACAAAATCATTAAGCAGGTCTAGCAAAGCAATAAACTATATGTGGAGTTTACAGTGGTTTCCTAGTGATAATCCAAATAAATTGTACTTCATCTGTATTGTCGACAAAGAGAGATAGGACACTGTCTGGAAAGGGTTTAATGATTTTAATCGTGTGAATTTGTTTTGTCCATCACACACACACACACTCATTTGCCCTGGTCAAGTGATGCATACATTCAATACAGGGTAAGATGGAACTGGACAGCAGTGCATTCTTTTAAACTAAAAGAAACGATCCTTAAAGACAGAGGACACATCCTGATGGCATTGATGTACCATGTGAGACGGCAGTAGGTTTCCACACAGGCGTTGTGTTGTTAACACAATATCATAAAAGAGGTGATGCAGGGAAGATCATCTAGGATGAGATGTAATATCTGTGGATGAATGTAACCGTGGATGCAGAATAATTCATAGAACTGGGACAGAAATTTACACACTTTTTTTTTTTTCAGTTTCAGGGTCTCAGAGGCACAGCAGAAATGTCGCAGTAGGCGGTACCACTCATCAACGTCAGAAACTCCCAAAAAAAGTCTGAGCATCGTCAGTGTTGTTGAACAGCACCGACACCTTTGTTTACAAAAATAAATGTTAATGTTTTATGACTCTGCTCACTTTTTGTTGTAATATGGCAGCAGATTACAAACTAGATATGATAAAGTAAATACTGTAAGTAATTTAATTTATTTGTGCAGAGCCGATTGAAAAGGTGATTGCTTTTTCATCACTATCAACACAGTTGATTATAAAGGAAATTATTAATTTGGATCGAATATGGAAGGAAAAAAGGAGACATTCCACTAAAAGGAAAACGTTTAACTGGGCGCTTTAAACACACGGAGGTGACTGTTCAATCAAAAACTGACAATGGTACAATATAGAAACTCTGATGAAAAATGCAAACACAAACACATCGTCCTTTAACTTTAGGCACATATGTAAAAACCAATAATATAAATCTTCATTTGCAATCTTTTTTTTTTGTTTGTTTAAAAAAAATATCCTTTCACTTATTGCATCCGCTTGTGGGATGCGTCGATGGATAAATAGCAAAGAGGAAATAAATGTGTGGAGACAGAAAGTTACTCCAACAATGTCACAATGTATAAAGAGGGATGAGAAATGTTAAGCACTGCCAAACACACACACACCCCTGTATTTATGCAGCACACGATGATGTGGTAAACCTTCTGATTACAGCGTTCGGGGTCTTATAATGCAGTCGGATAGCTGGGAGAATCAATGCTTTACATGTGTTCTGGAGCTACAATGCCAAATAAAACATGCATCTCAGTTGTGGCTTGAGGATTAAAGCTGCTCCCCCATATTAATAATATATCTCTATGGACAACATCAAGTATTTTTTCTTTTCAGTTTAAAGAAATCTTAGTATCATAGTGTTAAAACTCAATACATATACTGTATTTGCAAATAAAATCACTTTTCTTTTACAGAATGTCCGTTTAGTGGTTTACCAGTGGAGGCGGTCTGCACGTTACCACGGTCACCTCTGTCTTTTAGGAGTGACCTCTCTCTTTAATAATACACCAGTCTTCATTTGTTAAATGCAGCAGCAAGCAGCTACGCTACGTCACCCTGTTCGGGGGGGGGGAGCTACTGAACCAAAAAGCTCGGTAACATATCTCCATCGGGCTTTTATTTTAATTTTATTTTAGTTACTTTTCTTTTATTTCGTCAAAGAGGAGCGACAAAGGTATCCAGATAAAAACAAAAGTAAAACTGCAGAGAGAGATGAGCGTTTGCCTTTGCACAGCAAAATGTACAGAGCCACTGCGATGCAAGACGGAGACGCAAATATACAGGAAATTTACAAATGTACAGGAGGAGGAGACCGTCTAGACTCTCCCGTCAGACAGACAGTTGACCCGGCTCTGCCGTGGGCGGTTTGGGCGTCAATTCCAGGACGTCGGGTCCAAAGTTATCGCGCCATTCAATGGTTTGCCAGTCCGGTGAGCCGACGGAGAAGGGAGTGCACAAATGTGAAAGCAAGAGGGTTTGACGGTGCGAAGACAAACCTGCGGGGACAACAGGGGAGAGGCAGCAGACCTTCCTGTGGGTGTGGACAGAGAGAGGGACGAGCAGAGGACAGGACTCCTAGATGTCATCTGACCACCACGTCCCTGTCATCCCCCCCCCGCCGCCCTGAGGACACAGAGCTGAGTCACTCCTCTCTCCAGTCCAGAGTCTCCCGCTCCACTTTACACACCGTTGGCACTCATCTTGCTCTTCTGGGACACCTCTGTTGCTGCTTTAGCCTGAGGAAGAGGTCGCAGAGGTCAGTACAACTGCAATACTCAGTTTTCCCGCATTAATAACATTAAATCGTGTTCGTCTTTTTAATGTGTATAGCATTTAGCCGTTAGTGGATCAGCCATTAGGTGACAGGAATCATGGGATATAGGATGTGACAATGGTCCCCAGCCAGACATGATCCGTGGTCCTCACATGGTCACATGGTCAGTGTCTCAGACAGCTGAGATACTAAGACCTTCCATGCAGTACTGATTATTACACTTCACTGATGTATAATGACATTATGAAGCACAGCCTCAATAACAAGATGAGTAAAGTGAACAGCAGGTGAATAGAATTACAAAAGTTTGTGCTACACCGACAGAGCTCAGTGCCTACATTCCTCTCTAAATGAACATGAAAGGAAACCTGCATGTCTATCAGCAGTTAACTTGACTGAAACTGAAATTATGTTTCAGTGTCCTTAAAATGTGATTTATTTAACCAATGTTAGAATATGGAAATAATAGCACCACCACCCTGAATGATACATGTGTGTTTAAGAATGTGTTAACGGATGGTTAAATGCTACAGACATTTAAACAGCAGTTGTGTGAACACACTAACCCAGTAGTGTTAAAACGGAGACAGAAAAGTATCAGATCGAGCGTGTGAAAGAGACGTAGTGTCTCTTTAAGTGACTGGTTGGTTTAAAAAAAGAATCTGTTAAGAGTGTGCGTGGCAGCTCTATATTTATCAGCTATTTTTAAACATCACACAGATTCATTTAAGATGTTCAGTTCCAATTCAGCCAGTAGCTGTTTTTGTATTTGAGATTCTGTCAAACCTCTCGTCATTACTTCTATACATCTAAACTGAACAGATTCCCTACAAGTCTCTACTGTATTCAAGCACTTTCTCGAACTGTAGGGATTAGCATGTCATGTGAGAACGATCAAAGCCAGGAGGAACTAACTGGATTATGAAACCCCGTGTTGCATAACGTCTCATAATGGTTTCTGTGGATTCCACATGTCCAAGCAACAACGGGTGCTCACCTGAAGGACTTCAGCAGGACTCAGAGGTTTGTCCGACACAATCGGAGCCTTGTCTCTCATCTCCTCCACCTACGACAGACGGATAATTAAAAACATTTATAAGATGAGGGTTACTGCAGGATTTTAAGGTTCTTCTGTACAACCGATGCTCTATAAATGCTGCATTCTATGCAAAACTCAGAGGAGCAACTTGTCACTTAAACGAGAATAGCTGGTCCACCTTAAAGGTCGGTCCACCTTAAGTAAAGTAAACCTGCAACTACAAACACGCCTTCAGCAACTGGACAAATACTGTGAAGATCAGTGACTTTAAGATTTTTCTTTCTTGTTTTGTAATCATCTCCTCCAGGAGGATCATGCGCTCGGTCTGTCCACGACTAGTCCCGCAATCTGCTGCAGCAAACTGCATAATATTTTGGGTGGCCAGTTCTGGCTGCATGATCAAGGACTTCCCGTAGTTGCAGTGACCCAAACCTTCTCAAAACACCTTGTGTTGCCTGTTTTATAATGTCAATGACGGCAACTCTGGAATTGGCATCCTGCTGTGTGGGGTGGATGCAACTCCAGCCCCCGGCTGGTCGGGGATGCTAGTGATAACACAGTTGTGTGCACGCCATCTGTGGCGATTTGCGCTAAAACAGCGCTTTACAGGTTCTGTTTAGACAGGGAGTTAGACAATTGTGGGTTGTATTAACTCAACCACACAACATATACTGGTGGTCGTTGCAGAGACACCTGGTGGAGACCTTTGTAGTTCTGCATGTAGCTCGTGTGAGCGTCTTGGTATTTGAAAATATCCCAGGACTGGACGATAGTGAGATGCAGTACCACAAGTACACCTATTGTTTAAACAGAAATCTATTCTGCAGCGATGACCTTATTTCCTCTCTGTCATCAATACAGCTGATCTTATCTGTTTTACTGACCGGTCTGTCTTTGATGATGAGAGCAGGGTCCGCCAACATGTCCGCGCTAACTGAGGTGGTGTTTGCTCCCGTGTTCTCCGCTGGAGGGGGAGTAGATTTCTGCAGAAAACAACAACAACAAACATCTGATAAGACGAACACATCGCACAAGTGACTGCATGCTCTGGGTTATTGTTCGACGGCTGTGTTAAAGTCCTTTAAGTAGGAGATGTCTGGTGTCCAGCAGTTCAACATTTGCATATTCATCGATACTGGATATTTAAATACGGGAGAATGAGTAGATGTGGTTTCAAGAGTCGATCGAAAGAAAGCTCATCAGAAAATATTTCGAGAATTGATTCATAGTTTCAATTCTTTTTCAGAAGCAACATTTTCTTTTCACTTTTTCAAATTTGCCACTTTTCTTTGGTCATATATGGTAGCAAATTAAAGGTCTCTGTGTTTCGGACTGTTGGTGAGACAAAGCAGTTTGAAGACGTCGAGGAAGTTGAGATGGCCGTTGAGCCGTGCCTTTTAATATTTCACTAGAACAGAGTTTGGAGCTGCTGAAGAGTTTGGTTCTAACGCTAGTAAATCAAGCAGCGACGGTTAACTACAAAGGCCCGCTGCGTACGGACGACATGCTCCACACCGTCTGCAGAGCCCTGAAGCCGCTGCTCGCTTGTTTATTCAAAATGTATTAATATTGTGTCGCGAGATACAAATTGGACAAAAGTCATCCCTGCACTCCCTTCATGTCCCCAGCAACACACCCACCAAGTGTGAAGTAGATCGGATGAACGCTTCTTGAGAAATGCAAAGGACATACACACAAATACAGAGATTCCCTGCTTAGTAGATTGATTTTAGATTTGGTAGACTAAACAATTAATCAATAAATTAATATGATTGGTGGTTTGAGCCCAGGCACCAGAAACATAAATAGTTGTGAAAAAACTGGTGCTTTCCATAAGCAAAGCAAAAACTGAACGGTACCAAACGTCAGTGACCTGCACGCTAGCGATTTACCAGCATGAATGTTAAGCTTTCTCTAATCTGTACATTCAAGTGAACATGCACCAAGATGTGAAGTAGGTTGTAAAGGCTGAACCTCTAGCTTGGGAACAGGCGGGATGACTGGAGGTTTCGGTTTGACGTCCGTCAGGTACATGGCTCTGGAGAGCAGCAGCAGCGACGGAGGAACGTTCTCCTTCAGGTGCAGGTCCAGCCACTAGATGAGAGGAACATTTATTATTTAGGGAACAAATGACAAAACATAGAAAGCGTCATTCTTTCATTATTAGTCAGTTCTGCATGAACCAAAACACACTATTTGCACCTTTTTTTTTGTTGTTTGACACCAAACTTACGCTGTGTGTGTGTGTGTGTACACAAAACGTGAAACAAATTGTCGCATAGTGTCATTCGTGCTCGACGCCGCAAGAACCCAAAACAATAACTACATAATAATGTCAATATGTAAAAAGTCTGAATTCATGGTTTGTCAGGTCTTTGGCCGCAAGATGACAAGCAGACAACATTTAAAATGCTTGTTTTCGAATGGAGTTCGGATCGATTCGTGCTATGCTTTGCTAACATTGTACCTGCTCTATCCACGCTCAAAATAGCAACATCTAGGCATAAGTATGGCAGCAGTGTTATTGTTTATACCATAGACAGTCTATGGTTCATACACATACATTGATACATTGATAATCTGGGGAAATCATACGTTTGTAAAACCAGTAGTAAGTGTTCATCAACAAAGTAAAGCTACAAACCCAACGCTGCTTTGCTCACCTGCTGGATCTGCTGATGGAGCTGCTCGGTGGTGAGACCCAGAGACCTCATCCCTCGACTGCGGCATGCGGCCTGTAATTCTGACACACTCATAGCTGCCACACCCTCCGCTGCAATCATCTGTGAAGAGACGGAGAGGGAAGTCCAACACTGTTGCACAAGCTTGGGAAAAAGTTACACACTAAGAGGGACAGGAAGAACTCAATCTGATACTTTCCAGCGGTTTTACCTAAAAAAAAAAAATGTCTTTGTTCGCTACGATATAAAAGTCAATTTGCAGAGTCTTAAAAAAAAAGTAACATCCCGCCGACAGTCCATTAAAACCGTAAAATACCGCCATGCCCTGGTCCTCCATCTCACCTCATCGTCTGACTTGATGGTTCGGAGCTGCATCATCAGCTGGAAACGCAGCAAGTTGTTTGTGCCGATGGGCTGCAGCTCCAGCAGTTTACACAGAGCCACCAGCTGGGGGCGCTCCAGGTGCTCCAGCGTCAGCTCGTCCTCGAACAGCTTCGAAAACCGGACGATGTCCTTCGTGGTGGGCTGCTCGCCTGTGCCCCGGACCTGACGAGGACACACAGAGTCACTGTGGCGAAACCAGGAGGGAGCAATTACTGTCCAGACAAGCCGTGTCAGCAGTTTCAGAACACGTTCACCTTAATTGGACAATTACAGCATCTCATGGAACGCACTATTTTATTAACACTACATTCAAAACTGTGGGAGACGCTCTGCTCCATTACTTTCAAAGCACGGCCTCGTCCGCAAACTGGCGATCAAATGCGATTTTAAAAAAGGGGGAAGAGATGGATTCAAGCCGACGTCAAGCTCTTGCTGCGCTGTTGAATCATAGTTCATGGTAATTAAATACCGCTAAAATCCACCTGTCGTCGGCATTTGTCCACATCTATCAAAACAGAAAGAAAGTGGTTAAGTAGTAAAAGCCCGCCTCTTGTTTGATTTAATTGGCTGTCCGGGCCAAGTGTGACATCGACAAGCGGTGCGACTCCGCGCATTGCGCTGAAAAGTTGGAAGTATTTAATTTATTTGAGCATCTAGATTCCCATTAATAATCTAAACTATGGCTCAGTTTGATTACTGAACCTTGATAACAAGCAGTGTTAAAAAGAAAACAGGCTCCTCCCATCAAGGTGTCTTGAGGTGAGCCATGTATGGACGGGCTGCCACTGATGCACTGAAGATGTTGAAGTGTTATCTGGTAGTTTACCTTCTGAATGTATGTGGAGAAGCGCTGCGTCTCATCTTCCGTTTCAGCTTTGGCTTTATTCCGGCGAGCCATCTCAGCGATGGTCTCTTGGAGGAACTTGGCCAGCTCCAGCTTCGCCGCCAGACCTTTCTTCTGCTTCTCCTCCTGCATGAAGGAGGGAGAGACAGGTTAGTTTGAACCAAACTATACTTCATATACAGCTGTAGACTGATCGTCACAGACGGTTTTCTCCATTTCAGAACACTGTGTTGATTACAGGCTCTGTACAGTTAAACATCACAGAAAGCTTTTCACTGAGCTAGTTGGATTAATAAAAGATGCAGCCATTGGCTCGAGTACAAAAAGCTGACTTTACAAACTATTTCGAACACAGGTTGCCTGTTCAGGTCTTTACTTCTTTGCGTTTTCCTTATTTCCTGATAATGTTTTCCAGATTATTATTATTAACCCTGCTTTCAAAAGCACCCTACAACATAGTTTTGACTCTATCATAGATCATACGTTTGTCTCTCAGAACTCTGACCCCGTTTTGTGCTGTTTATTGTAATTGTTTTGACACGTCTGCACCGTCCAGGAGCATGAGAGCGTTTCAGTGAATCACTCAACCGTGCTCCAGAACCACCAGCAACACCAGAGAGGACAGGCCAAGTACAGACACCCGCTGCTTTCCTTTTACAGGAGAGCAGAATCTAACAAAAGGAATGTGGTATCCTTATAGTTACAGGAACAATAGCTTTTTAACAAAGAATACAGAACACATGTATGTTGCAGCTCCTCAAGTAAATGAAGATTAGATAAAGTCTGCTGCCTGAGTTACCTGAGGCTCTTAGTTCAGCAGACATATCCGAGCAGTTATATAATTACAATGAACCCTTTGGCGAGGTCATGCAGGCGGCAGGGTGTGTGTGTGTATGTCTGTGTGTACATGAACACATGCCTTTTTGGACTCTGTCTCGAAGGTGGAGGGCAACATCTCCGGGAAGAGCTTGAGGAAGACGGGAAGGAGGAACTCCATGAAAGGAACGATGATGAACAACGTGAAGGGCACCAGGCGGAACAGGTCAGCGCAGGTCCGCAACAGCTGGAAACACAAGAGACACAAAACGAGGTCAACGTGGGGAAATGTGGACGGCGGCATGAGCTTCGCTGCGATGCAGTCGTCTTCGGAGGGGTTCTGCATGTAAGATTCATTACACCTGCGCCGTGGCTCTGCCAGTCTTTAAATAGCAGAAATATAGTTTTACCACTGTGCACAACTTGGGGCCCTGAGGGTGCATATATTGTCTTGGGGAATATTGGATTCTAATTGGGATTAAAGACTTTGAATAATCATCTTGCACGCGTTTCTGCATCTGGCGTCGCTTTGAAATAATCAAACCTTTACGCTTTTTTTGAATAAAAATTTACAAAAGAATGGGAACATTTTATTTAAAATATTTAAACGTTAAAGACAATGTATTGAGTAGCTATGTCTCCTCTATTCAAACAACGCCATCTACATGGAGCTCGTCTGACATGTGCATAGATTTAAGTTCAGGGAAGAGCTCCTAATATGAAGAGAGAACTTCTCAGCAGAGCCAGCAGGTATTAAGGACTATTGTTACGGTTTCTTGAACACAACCAGGACCGGCTCAGCTGACCACATCATGTGATCCGCTGCTTCATAACAGTACCTGTAGCTGAACGATAATTGCTGACATTTGAACTGCTCAGCGTTGTGATCCAGTAAACGGCACAGATTAAAAACACAGCCATCACTTTTCATAACTGATCGTCTGACTAGCTGATCCCAGATATGATCAGTAGGAGTGTGTGAGTCCGAGTCGACCAATAAGTGACAAGACGTAGCAAAGATGTTTGAGGAATTTAAAACAAAAATGTCTCCGTTATATAGTTTGTCCACCAAAGAGCACTGAAAAGTGTATTTGTTTACTGTTAAGTGTCCCGCTCAGTACAGAGCTTTGAATTTGATGATTCATTAAATTTCAAGGATTCTTTAAAAAAAATAAAATAGCATTGATGTAAAACAATGAATACTGGCTGATATCAGATGTTTTAGACTCTCAAAATATTAATATCTGCCTGAAAATTCCAGTTATGGTTGAGCTTTAATAAAGACATCCATATTGGATATACTGTATTTCTGCAACATTTTCCTCTGCAGGGAGGCTCTAGGTTAAAAACAGCATTTGTATTTTGCTATTGTTGTATAAGAAGAGTGCCGTCCTGTCGTGTCTATATTACTAGAGATAGTTGTTAAAAACGTGAGAGAAAAATGTTATCAATTCAGACTGAGCGTCAGCGGAAGATCAATATTTAAGATCTCCGATTGGGCTCAGGAGCAAACCACAGTGACAGTGATTACGGCTACAACTGACAATAACTTTATTAGTCGTTTGATTTATGAAATGTGAAAAAGAGGGAAAACACCAATCGGTCCAAAACCAAACAATATTCAGTTTACTATAACATAAGACAAAGCACAGCAGCAAATCTGACACTGATTTTCTACATTTATGTTAAAAAAAAAACCTTAATAACTGATAGAATTATCTGCAGATGACTTTCTGCCATCAAATCATTTATTGATGCTTTTAGCTTCAATCAAATGTGAAGTTAAGGTAAAATACTGCAGACAGTGAAAATTATTCAATGTCATGTATTTGTGCAGCACACAGCTCAACCCTACATATCACAAAGCAAATAGTCTGTAACACAGTTCTTAACAAAACACAGCTACTGTAAAGACCAACACCAGAACTGAATGTCTCAGATTAAACCCATTTCAGGATTATTAAGGAGTTGTAATAGTGTATTTGAAGTATTGTGACTTAAAATACACTATTACAACTCTGTGAATGATTATTTACATGAATGTCTGTCTCACCGCTGCACCACACGGCTGCATACCTGCTGTTGCTCATGCGAGTTACGACTTCGGGAACACGCTGTACACATTACTATTTGACATGCGAAGGTGCGATACATTCAACTGAACCCTAAGGCCATAAAATATACTTCTCGCTGATAACAACCCAGAGGAAGAACCGGGACGACTACTCCTGGAGTCTTTTGGTCAAGATAAAAAAAGACGATCGTTAAGGAAACAAGACAGACGGTGTTGCTGTGATCAGAGGGCAACAGAGGAGGATCCGTGCAGAAGGCCGGGCCAAGACAAAGAACACCTAAGACCTAAACTTGGGAAACAGGTGTGGGAAGTCTGAATTATAATATCTCATGAGCATAAAGATCTCCACAAGCTCAATTACTTTCAGGTGCATTACCAATAGAAACTAGGAGGTTTAATGGTGTACCTGACACGAAAAAGCCTTTATTTTTCTTAAATGTTGTTTATTAACTGATGACACTTTTGAGTAAAGCATCCTGCGTTTCTGATGAGTCGATGAAGCTTCTCTTACCCTTCTCCTCTCCCTGCGTGTGAGCAGTTGTCCGTGCAGCAGCCTCCACACCATCCTGCCCGCGATCGTGATGTCGATGCCGAGCAACCGGAAGCCGTTGTAGTAGTGCTTCAACTCATCCACAATCTTCTGATACAGAGACTTTTTCACGACTGCCCTCTCCTGCACCGGAGGGACGGCGGCCGTTGTGGCGGTGCTGGCGGACGTCGGAGTGGCTGCCGACGGAGGCTGGGACTTTTTAGCTTCCGGCGAAGCATCCTGGGCGGCGGCTGGTGAAGTTTTAGTGTCCTCCTGCTTTATTTCTTGGAGCCAAACGCCCGAGCTGTGCAGAGAGCGGGCGAGCAGGGCCGAGTTGTGGCCGCGGCCGATGGCGTGGCCTCGGTAAGAGTGGGGGGAGCCGTAGCGGGAGTGCCTGAGTGTGAGCGGGGACGAGACCTGGCGAGGAGGGTCTACGTGGAGATAGGCTTTGGAAGACAGAGAGGAGCAGCTGTTCCTCTTGGTTAACAAATAGGATCCCCTGTTGACCGCAACAACAGAGACTGGTTAGTAATTACATAATATTATGCATTTTAAAAAGCAAAGAAATAATACAATAGAGCTCAATCATGTATTTAAAATATACAACTACAATTTGGAAAATTCATTAATTCAGATGATAGAGCTGCAACAATTACTAGATGACAAATACTTAAATTGGGGTTTATTTTAATAGTTCATTTCAGTCTTCTTCCTCCCAGCCTTTGCTGGTGCATGGCTAAGTCTCTTGGAGATTTACTACCACCTATAGATCAGATTTACTACCACCTATAGATCAGTGGAATAGTGTGAAATGTGTCCCTTGTACGTGTGTAAAATACAAACAAAACAGGGAGCCATTCATAGCGAACGGCTCCACAGCACTACTACGAAAACGTCAAAAACTCCACATTGGAACCTTTAATGGGACGCAAATGTGTCCAAAGGTTGAGCAATATGGATAGCAATCTTCTATCATGTATATTGATAAGTAACAGAGGAGGGAAATGTTTCTGTAACAAAAAAAACAAACAAAAAAACACATTTACTACAGATAGAATAACCACATAGGAATGGCTGATCAAATAACTGTAAATGCAAAAATGTTGATGCCACGGTGGCCTTATTGATCTAGAGATATTAAAAGCAGAGCTAACTTAGTATACATGGTATGGTTAAGTTGACAGTTGACAAATTGGTAGATCTTCTCATGCTATATATTGCCATGTTGCCAAACCCTGATGTACAACTGAGTTACATTGTGTACCAATCTGATAACTAAAGTTGCAGGGGGTCATGAGAAGTTGGGGTAGTGACAGTGACACAAAGCTGGCCTATCAGCTGCCAGTATGTGATCTTGCATCATCAGTGGTGTGTTTACCTCAAGTGTGTCATGAGAGACATTGAATAGGCTTCTCTGCAGCAGACAGTAGGTAAACAAAGACAGCTTGTGACTCTCAGACACAACAGAGAGCGTAAGAGCTCGTAGATACTGTCGTTGAACTTTGTGAAGAGAACCAGTTCTGCGTTTTGTAAATCAATTAGTAACTCAGCCTGCTTTGCATTGCTAGAATTCGTATTTTACTAACTTACAGAATGTAAATGTAGCCACGTGCAGCTTACTTACCGTGATCTTGTGACTGCAAGGAGCACCTGGTGACTAAAGACTGCCATTGCAGGGGCAGGTTACAGTACTCTGTTGAAGCACACAGGAGACAGACAGACAGAGTAATGTTAGGTGTATGGTTGCAACTCACTCAAAAGGTGCAGCAACAGGCAAACATTGAAAAATACAACAAGCATAACACGAGCAACATCTGTCAGATCACACACACCTGCCACAGTGAACACATGAAAGATATTATGCTGTGCAAGCGAGCTAACTATGAATGAAATAATATCACCGAGCTAACATTAGCATGAGCGCAACCGGACAACAGGTTAGCTCAATATTATGTAACAACAACATCGGTCGCTGCTTAGCTGACAGATATCAACCCGGTCACTGTAACGTTCAACAGATTAATTCACCGTTAAAATCCACCAATACTCTTAATGGCTCATATATATTTGAAAACAACCTCACATGAGTTACACGGACCGTGCTTACTGCCTAACGTCAGTTTGAGTGTTTCAGCGTCTGTTGTGCTAAATGGACGTAACGTTTACATAATGATAAACTCTGGAGGAAATCCTCAACCATTTGATAATGTACCACTAATGTTAGCCAATGTGACTGGTGTACAACCCAAATATCTAAAACAAGTTGCCAGTACGGTAAGATTCACATTAGCATCGTGCTAGCAGTTTCAACCATTAACGCTAGCTAGGACACCTCGGCTATCCTAGCACGTTAGCTTGCTGCTGGCTAAGCTAACGTTAGCTACTGAAATGGCAGTCGGCGGATGACGAGCTCACTAACCTCCAGCGTCAATGACGGAGCTATGGCTGCCGCTGTTGACTGGGCGTTGTAAGGCTTCTCGGTGAGACTTGAATAAGAATAATCCATCCACAAAAAATCGGTCGAGGTAAATGGGAGTGACGAAAGTAACGGCTGATGAGCTGATAAACCCATTTACGGTGGGTTTACACTTCTGAAGTCGTCGTGTTTCGGCTACTTGTCCCCTCGTCATGTGCAGCCTTCCCAGGCAGCTGCACTGAAAGTTCACACTGTACATGCGTGAATGTTGTGTGCGGTCCTACCGAAGATCGTCTATGTTATGGAAGGATGAATTACTCTGTGGTTAAAAATAACAACGTCCCAGTTGTTATTTCGCCTCAGAGCTTCTTAAAATCGGAATGTATCATTGGAAAATCAATCAGAAATATTAGGAAAAATACCTTTACGCTTGACATAATTGTAATTCTCATAATTTTCCTCCTCTTATGGCAAAATGCTTGAGTTGGAAAGGACACACCTCTATTGATTGTGGTTTAAATGTGGTTGTTGTAGCTTTACAAGTCCTGAAATAAGAACAGATGCGTATATAAAGTGACATAAATAAATACTAGGAGGTACATAAACTACAATAAAATAAAAATAGAAACTACACAACAGCATTTGGAGACAAACACATGGTAAAGTGAGTGGTGCTGATAAAGTGACAGTGGCCTGATTAATATTAGCAGGGTCAACAAGTCTATGAAATCAGTGTCTGTATGAATATTAAAAAAAATTGTGAGTCAATGTAACATACTGTTGCATAATATGGTACATTATGATATAGTATGGGTAGAGACCTAGTATAAAGTGTAGTAACATAGTAGTATAGTATACCATAATACATAGCATTGTACAACAATATAGCATAGTAGTATAATAACATAATATGATATGTAGTATTGTACAGCAATAATATAATATCAAATACCACATGGTATACAATACCAAGAGAGACATATATGATATCACTTTGCTTATGACAGATGTCCTGTACTAATAACTCACATTTAAACCAGACCAAATACATTTTAAAAAAGTGAGCCATGCTGAATCATGCTTCATTTTACACCCATATTATAATATCTAGTTTTAGAAGTTGTTCACAATATTTTGAGATGTTAAGTCGTCATGTAGACTGGCTTTGCAACTGCTCTTCAGCTTTGGGACCCTGTATAATAATAACCATTAGCTTAATGTATATTAATAAATACACACCAGTTTCACCTGTGTTTGGCGTTCAATTGTCATCTCATTTTGGTTTGCTTCCCAAATGTCCTATTTGATCCCCATACGAAACCCTTAGTTTCTCCCATTACATGTGCTGTTTATACGCTCCCTTCTGAGTCTTTTTGCCCCTTGTCCCAAACTTTACTTGACACAGTTCATCTTTACAAAGATAAAAAGTCAGGAATCTAATTTAGTCTGCAAAAAAATAATATTCAGGGGGTGGGTGGATTTTGGTGTGGTGGTCATTAGCCACTTTGCCAGATATAATCTCTGTCACCTGCAGTTTACACTTTAGCCAGACATCCTCTGGTTTTGAAATGCTTTTGCTGTGAGGAAAATTTGCTGAGCATCACTCAAATGTAAATCATCCTAGTCAACCAGCGACCGTTTGGCCCAGTACTTTTTTAAAATCTGTATTTAGTAGGCCAAATATCAAGATAAATTGGCATGTCATTCATAAAGGTGTGTAGACATAGTTTGAGATGGTCTTTAATGTGCCGGCATGGTCCGACATAAAAGGAGGATGCAACAGAAAGGGTTGAAATCCTCAGAATAAACTCGTATGTGGGTTTTGAGTTCATTTTAATCTAAGAAGTACTATCATATAACAAGATATAGTCGAACTGCTTTCTGTTTATATTGTCCAACAGGTTTCCGTGGTGCCAATAATCTGTGGAATACACATCATTTGTGGTGCCAGGATTTAGAGGCAGAGTGAGAGGTCTTTCATGTCCCGCTCCTCTCAGCTACAGATCAGGAGAGGAGGCGTATAAAAGCCAATCAGACTCGACTGGACGTTGCTGCAAACGTAACTACGGGATCTGCATCACGTTATGGTCAGCATGAAATAAAAATAATCAAAACAAATATTTTAATATTTTATGTGAATTATGTGATAGTATTGAAATATATATTTTAAACAGTTTCTTTTCTTTACACTATCCCCTCCTCAAAAGACTCCTCCTTTCATTTCAGTGTGTGTGTGACTTATATTACATTTGCTCCTCGACCTCCTTTTTTTCTGGCCCACATTCTTTCCTATGAAAGCAGATGCCTTCAGAAGTAAACTACACATCCCGGAGTGCTCCTCATAACCCCTCCGGGTCCGGATCTGTGGGATTTTGGCGCTGAGCTGCAGGAGAAACCGACCACTAGGCCTGGACTAAAAAAAGAAAAAAAAGAAAAATAAACTGGGTGCTTTTGTTAAACCAGAGGAAGAGGGAGCTAGAGATTATTATTAATAAGAAGACTACAGGAGGGCGACGAGAACTGAACACACATCTGTCTGCAGCAGTGTTTCTACTAAAGGCTCCAGTCCCTACATTGAAGAAGAGCCCAGCTTTGGGATTGGGCAGAGACCAGATAGCGTAACACCCCCTCCTCCTCTCTGTGGAGAATTGCGTTAAATCGAGAAAGGAAAAGGCCTGAGCTTTATCTATATAACAGGACATTTTTTAGATTTTTTTTCTCCTTATATATTATACGAGGAACCGTTGCTGGCTGGTGTATGTGTTTAGAATGGGACACGCTGAAGGTATTTATATTTTTCTAATATATGTATATATTTCCCTGCATCTCTCTGCTCGGCATCTAAATCTGTGCTGCTCCTTCGCTCTCCTCTTTAGCGATAAGCGTGTTGGCCATCGCTGCTGCATGTTGTTGTCCCCCCTCCTCTCTCTCTCCGTCCGCTCGGACCATTTGTTTGGGGACGTAGCTAGCTTATTTTCGGGCACATTTCTAACCAAAGCCGCCAGTGATGGAGGTATAATCAACGCCAGACAATTTGATTTAAAGGGGCAAAGGCAGCCATATTGGCAGCGGAGCATTAGCTTAGCAACATTAGCTTCCCCCTTTTCATATTCTTCCATGTGGTGCACACAAACTGATAAATAATAACTGTCAACGCTTATTCGTGTGTGCCTGAAGACAAACTAATATAAATGGTGCCACCCCTCTGTGTCGTGGTTGTTTTCTAACGGCTAAAAACGGTCCACATCTTTTTTTCCCAAGACTAGCTCCTTTTGATGGCAGGTAGCTTTAGGCTAACATCGCAGAAAGCTATAAGATCATTCAGAGAAACATTTTGTTCTGTGTGCGCAGTCGTTTTTGTCACAGTTGTGAGCGGGTATTAATGTTTCCCACAACACACACGGACCCTAAAATAGTAACACAAATCGTTATAGGTAGCTAGTGACCGTTAGTTGACACCTTTATGGATGTTTACATCAACGGTATCCACCTTTGCCAACCGCTGGGCAAAACCCGAGCGTGTTCACAAACGGAACCACGATCAGTGGAATGAGTCGATTCACTGTGAGCATGCACGCGCCGACACTTTTAACCTGATCAGTTAATCATTAGTTACATATATATATATATATATATGTAAAAGTGTTGAGTATAAGAGGGCTAAGCGGGCGCAGGTAGCTGCTCTTTGTTTTGTTTTGTGATCGCAGGCCACCATGTGTTTGTGTTGGTGAAACACTAACTGATCTCGTGAGGAGAGGCACTGCACAGATGGTTAATGGCTGTCAGAGAGAAACTTCTTAATTGGAAGTACGAGCTGTCTGGAATTAGTTTGTGTGTTCATGGAGATACGTTTAAGATAATTGACGGTGATTTGTGGATCATGATTGGACTTGACACAGGTCCTCTTATTGTCTCCTAACATCTAGACAGCCCTGTGAGTTTATCAGTGCTTCAACTAACAACCGTTTTTTATTAAAATATCTCTCCCAGAGCCCAAGTAAACATAACTAAATTCCAGTTTTGTCTTAAAGTTAACAACTCAGCGATAATTCAGTTAATTATCATCGAAAACAACACCAACAAAAATCAACAGTGCTATGTGATCTTCAGCTCTTCAGTGTATTGGTAGCTGAGGTAACATTTGAGCGGTACCGTATGTATTCTCAGGATGGTGCTACATGTCACATAATATGCTATGACTTCATAAAGCATCAATGCTGGATTACCCGCCAGGCAAAGCGTGATACTGCCCTGGGGCCCCCGAAGGCCCCCAGGTCCCCTGGTTGGCAATTATTTTGTTTGCAAATATGCACCATATTAGCTGAAATGGTCCTAGTAGTTTCACCTTATCTCAGTTCTCTATGTCAAAATCTAGTTTTAACATTCTGATTCTATTATGCCTTCATATTGCGTGTTGCTAAATCCATTTGTGTTTAATAAGATGACCACAAACTGACTGACACACTGCAAACCAGGTTCAGGATAGTATCCCACAATAGGAGCACTGGTAGGTTCATGGCCCTCTGGGCTTGATGTTATGGAGCTGCCACTTATGTGATGCATGCATACACTAGTGCCGAACGATTTAAAGAAAATATATATTACGATCATTTTTGATTGATATTGCAATTGCTTTATGATTTGCGATACAAGGGGAAATTATATATTTTCCATCATCATTCTCATTTTCATTTAAATGATTCTGGTGTGATATTTGTGTGGATCTGTAAAGAACAAAGATGTCTCCTTAAGTCTGTAGAATATGATGCGTAGACCAGGACGTCTGCAGGACGACACTATTTAATCTAAAATGCTATTCTGCCATTTGAAAATTGCAGTAGGCCATATTACAGTTCAGATGAAATTGTGCATCCCGTGTATACGTACATAATGAATAGAATGTGACAGGAGCCAGGGGGTCAACAGGGGCCCTCAAAGGGTCATGCAGAGAGCAGATTTGACGTGTGTCCTGCATGTCGTATCATTTCTCAGGGCATTCTTACAGGATAAATGAGATGATCCTGAACAAGGTATTTGTCCGTCTTGGTTCTGGTGTGATAACTGTGATGAACAGTGACGAGGATTTAATCAGAACCTCTTCTAACTGCATACGTCTCTCTCATCAGGTCCAGTCAAAGAAAAAGACAGTTAAGGATGCAGGAGCCCAACAATGGATTTCTCCTTCTCTTTCATGCAAGGGATCATGGGAAATACAATTCAGCAACCCCCTCAGCTCATTGACTCAGCCAACATCAGACAGGAAGGCACCTGCGACACCGGCAGTGACCCCGGCGAGGATGGTGGTCCCTCCTACGATGCTGCCCTGGATGCAGAGTTCTCCTATCCGCCGTCGGCCTCGGAGGACATGTCGCATGTCTCCAACGGCTACCCGCCCGGCCTGGGCATGTACGAGCCGCAGGCCAAGTTCTCCATGTACTCGCAGTTCCCCAACGGCTCGGCCAACGGCTACGGGGCCATACGGAGCTACGGCGATCACGGCCTCATGCCGGGGGAGGGGACGGTCCTGAGGGGCCCGGGTCTCCAGGAGAGGCCTTTGTCCCCCGTGTCCCCGCCTCTGCACCCGCACCTCCACCACCATCACCATCACCCCCATCCCCACCACCACCCCCACCACCACGGTGCGCACCACTTCCACTCGAACCTGCCTCACATACAAACCCAGCCGCACACGCAGAGTCCCCCGCCGCCGCCGCCCTCCCAGCACCACCTGCCCCACACGCCTCACATCATGACCCACACTCTTCCCCCTCCTCCCCCGTTGCTCCTGCCTTCCTCCAGTCCCCCGCCCTCCCTTGTGGACAGCACCCCTTCCTCTCAACCCCCCCATGGTCTGTCCAACACCCCCGGTGGGGTGCTGAAGAAGACCAGCTCTCCAGAGATCAAGCTGAAGATCATAAAGACATATCAGAATGGGAAAGAGCTGTTTGAGTCTGCGCTGTGCGGAGACCTGCTGCAAGAACTGCAGGTAATGTCTGCATGTCTGAGCTAGTTACACACACACACACACACACACACACACAAGAACATGGCACTTGACTTGTTAATTGTTGATGTGATTGTTCATTAAAAAAATACAGTGCTGTCTCCAGCTTCTAAAATGAGAGGATTATCTATTTATCTCTGTTTTATTTCACTGTAAATGTAATATCTTCATGTTTTTAAGACGTCAGATTGGATTCTGGGAAACTGTAACAGGAAAAAAAAATGTATAATGAAAATTCCAGAAAATAATCTGCAGATACATTCATAATGAAAATAACAGTTATTGTAACACAATGAGCCTCTTGAGTGTGAACGTTTTTATTGATCTTGAACCTCTTAACCACATCTCACAGTCAGCCATCAACAATATTGATCACGGCATGTACTTGCTTTTATCTTTGCATATTTCTTATCAATGTCTGCAAATAATAAAACAGACTTGAAACATAATTGTTTCACATTCGTTTCTTGAAAAATTACTTAAATGGTTAAATCCACTATCAAAAATGTTTCTCTTTAATTTTCTACATTTTTAAGCTCAACAGCTTACCTTGTATAAAATCACAAGGCAGTGTACATTGAACCACAGAAAGATTGCGTCACATCCTAAATACAAGTCTAATCTGTCCCATTAATATTCATATGGAATTGTTGCAGTGTTTTCTTTTACTCGTGGAGCTCTGAGGGAGTTGTGATTTCAGCAGACACACAGATCCATCTTTGAGCTGCCTTTTATGTAAAAAGAAAAAAAGTCAACCGATGTCTCATCACCACCGTTTTGTTTTTCTATTTTCTGATCTTCAGAAGGAGTCTCAGAAGAACGAGGCCACTCCCATTCAGCGCCGCCACGAGAGGAAGAAGGAGAAGAGGAAAAAGAGTGCGCGGCTGCAGCTGCAGGTCGAGGAACAGAACCTGGACCAGAGCCCGGCACAGGCACAGGCAGGTACCACGGAGCAGACAGAGGAAACCCACGTCCAGCCCCGGCCGACAGAGACGCCCTCGGCCCAGACAGAGAAGCCTCCGAAGACCGTTATCAAAACTGAACCAAAGACGCCGAAGGCAAGAGCGCGTCGGTTCACCCACCGCAGCCGTTTGATATTCTGTCCACACAAATCCCTGTACCTCGTAGCGAACAGTCGGTGACCCGCTCCTGTTTCCCCGTTTTAGGTTCCGAAGGTCCACCATCCGTCAGTGATCCAGGAGACGGGCTTCTGTAAGGAGTTTGTGATCGGAGATCTGGTGTGGTCCAAGGTGGGCACCTATCCCTGGTGGCCCTGCATGGTCTCCTCTGACCCGCAGATGAAGGTCCACACTCGCATCAACACCAGAGGTTCGTGCACGAAAAAGAAATAACTCAACGGGATCTTCCTGTTTCCTCTAACATACGTTTGAACACGCTCGTCTTCCTCTCTGTGTCTCTGTGCAGGTCACAGGGAGTACCACGTCCAGTTCTTCGGCAGCGTCGCTGAGCGAGCGTGGATCCACGAGAAGAGGATAGTCCTGTACCAGGGGAAGCAGCAGTATGAGGACCTTCAGGCTGAGACTCTGCGCAAGGCCTCGAACCCTGTAGAGAAACACAAAGTACGTACGGATGCATCTGAGAAGTGTTCTCAGCCTGATCCAGTATGAAGACCAGATGCTATGTCAACTTTCAGTATTATGATTCCAGGAGTCCAGTGCTCTTAGTGAAGAGTATATACTGAATATAACATATAGAAAAAGATGAACATTTTGGTAAAAGTAAAACCCGATTGATACTGGACTTCTGAGACCTGATGCAAAACTTTAGGAGTGACAACATGTTAGCCGCTCCTCCTTTTGTTTATATGTACAGTGGGTACGGAAAGTATTCAGACCTTTAAATTTTTAACTCTTTGCTTCATTGCAGCCATTTGCTAAAATCCAAAAAAGTTCATTTTATTTCTCATTAATGTACACTCGGCACCCCATCTTGACAGAAAAAAACAGAAATGTAGAAATTTTTGCAAATTTATTAAAAAAGAAAAACTGAAATATCACATGGTCATAAGTATTCAGACCCTTTGCTCAGTATTGAGTAGAAGCACCCTTTTGAGCTAGTACAGCCATGAGTCTTCTTGGGAATGATGCAACAACCTTTTCACACCTGGATTTGGGGATCCTCTGCCATTCTTCCTTGCAGATCCTCTCCAGTTCCGTCAGGTTGGATGGTGAACGTTGGTGGACAGCCATTTTCAGGTCTCTCCAGAGATGCTCAATTGGGTTTAGGTCAGGGCTCTGGCTGGGCCAGTCAAGAATGGTCACAGAGTTGGTCCGAAGCCACTCCTTTGTTATTTTAGCTGTGTGCTTAGGGTCATTGTCTTGTTGGAAGGTGAACCTTCGGCCCAGTCTGAGGTCCAGAGCACTCTGGAAGAGGTTTTCTTCCAGGATATCTCTGTACTTGGCCACATTCATCTTTCCTTCAATTGCAACCAGTCGTCCTGTCCCTGCAGCTGAAAAACACCCCCATAGCATGATGCTGCCACCACCATGTTTCACTGTTGGGATTGTATTGGGCAGGTGATGAGCAGTGCCTGGTTTTCTCCACACATACCGCTTAGAATTAACGCCAAAAAGTTCAATCTTGGTCTCATCAGACCAGAGCATCTTATTTCTCATAGTCTGTGCGGGCTATGCAGGCTTTCATATGTCTTGCACTGAGGAGAGGCTTCCGTCGGGCCACTCTGCCATAAAGCCCCGACTGGTGGAGGGCTGCAGTGATAGTTGACTTTGTGGAACTTTCTCCCATCTCCCTACTGCATCTCTGGAGCTCAGCCACAGTGATCTTTGGGTTCTTCTTTACCTCTCTCACCAAGGCTCTTCTTCCACGATTGCTCAGTTTGGCTGGACGGCCAGGTCTAGGAAGAGTTCTGGTCGTCCCAAACTTCTTCCATTTAAGGATTATGGAGGCCACTGTGCTCTTAGGAACCTTGAGTGCTGCAGAAATTCTTTTGTAACCTTGGCCAGATCTGTGCCTTGCCACAATTCTGTCTCTGAGCTCCTTGGGCAGTTCCTTCGACCTCATGATTCTCATTTGCGCTGACATGCACTGTGAGCTGTAAGGTCTTATATAGACAGGTGTGTGCCTTTCCTAATCAAGTCCAATCAGTTTAATTAAACACAGCTGGACTCCAATGAAGGAGTAGAACCATCTCAAGGAGGATCAGAAGAAATGGACAGCATGTGAGTTAAATATGAGTGTCACAGCAAAGGGTCTGAATACTTATGACCATGTGATATTTCAGTTTCTCTTTTTTAATAAATTTGCAAAAATTTCTACATTTCTGTTTTTTTCTGTCAAGATGGGGTGCTGAGTGTACATTAATGAGAAATAAAATTAACTTTTTTGATTTTAGCAAATGGGTGCAATGAAACAAAGAGTGAAAAATTTAAAGGGGTCTGAATACTTTCCGTACCCACTGTATATTGATTTTCAGGATAAGATCATAAAGAATTCCTCAAGTGCAGCTGTCGGAAAGACAGCTTTATTGGTGTTTTTATTTGGAAAAATACCTCCTTTATTTGTATAAACCAATCACATATTTTAGATAATTTAAGTCTCAAATTCAACTTATTTCGAAATAATTATTCGGGGCTCTTTTGCATTTTCTTTAGATTTTTCTTAGTTACTGTATAAATGACTGAATTTACTTTTATTTATGTTATACCATCACATGGCTCATCCATTCAAAACAAAACAAAAATTAATATTTATAGTATAACAATTTCTTTCCCTAAACTCTCATGCATTCACTTAATAACTTGCAAAACACAACCATTCAACCGCTGTGACAATCAGTAAAATGAAGTTACCATTTTAAAATAAAGTACATTCTATTGAAAATTTGAGCAAACTATGTAGATGACACTGAATGATCCCATGTATGTTTTTTTTTTTCGTTTTTGAACCATCATGTATCGATACATATTTGGGTAAGCCAATATTGATAATATCAGGTTCCATTCAGAAATAAAGTTCATCAGCTGTTTGGTATTTAATTCATGTTTCCTCCTCCAGCTCCTGAAGCCCATCCCTCAGCGGGAGCGTTCTCAGTGGGAGGTGGGTGTGGGCCACGCCGAGGACGCCCTCGCGATGTCACGGCAGGAGCGCATCGACACCTACACCTTCATCTACGTCGACCCAGACCCTATCGAAGGCCCGTCCAGCAAGAAACCCGGCATCCGAGCCGAGAAGCGAAACCGGCGCTCCAGCGGCTCGGTCGGTAAGAAGGAAGCGGGGGGAGTGAAGTTGCCTGAGAGAGAGCAGCCGCCGCGCCGGCTGCTGCCGCGCCGGCAGTGTAGCATTTCGAACACGGAAGACAGCGCAAACTCCCAGGCCTCGCAGGAAGAGAAGAGCCAGAGGGGGGACCAGCGTAAGGCCGGCTCCCCGAAGCCGAACGTCGGCAGCGACGCGCGGCAGGACGCGCCGCCGCCGGTCAGGGCCTGGAAAACGGCCGCCGCCAGGAAGCTGCTGCCTCTCTCCATCACCATGAAGAGGCTGAACGTGGAGATTACAAAGTGCGATTGGCCTCTGCTGCAGAAAAAAGCTGCGCCGTCTCCGAAAAAAGAGCTGGAAGAAGAAGAAGAGGAAGAAGAAGAAGAGGAGGAGGAAGAAGAGGAGGAGGAGAAGGAGGAGACAGGGGCGCGGGAAGCCCGGCAGCCCGACTTGGGATACTGCTCGCCCGAGGACAGCCGAGCTAAACCCGAGCCCAGTCCAGAGGAGGAGGAGGACGGGGACGGGGATGGGGATGAGGGGGAGGAAGAGGGGGAGGAGAGGAGAGGCTCCCCCGCCAGTCGAAGGAGTGAGGAGGGAGGAACGCAGCAGACCTCGTCTCCTGGATCACACCACAGCAGTCCACACGGTTGGTAATACACCGACATGGAGGGTGCGTTTTGCCAAATATTTGACGTGTTTGTCAGGTCAATAAGAGATTATTTTTTTAATGTGTTTTTCAGGTTCTCAGGAGAGGAAGCTGCAGCGGCGGTCAGTCAGGAGCAGGTCTGAGTCGGAGAGAGGCAGCGATCCCATCCCGAAGAAGAAAACCAAAAAAGAACAGGTATCGGCCCCGCGCAGAATAAAACATTTAAAGAGCGCTGCACCTTTGTTGCATATCATATCTTTTCCTCCCCACATTTCCTGAACACTCTTTTTCAACTCTGTCAGCTATAAAGTTAAAGCAAATTCAAAAAAAATACACAAGGGGTGTTAAAAGGGGCGTACGTCAGGTACCGATGAGACAATAAAAAAAACGATCCGCGAACTCTGGTTAAAGTAACTTCAAGGCTTCTCAGATAATAAAACACTGTAATATTAAGAAAGAGGATTTTACAACAATAGTTTTTTCTACATCGCGCCACTTCTCAGGTAAACGGTGGTATTAATCTTTTTCACTTTACAGACTAATCTACCACCTGTGTGTTTGAACGTGTGTAACGTCATTGTGAGAGTCTTCATGACCGGGGCTTCAATATTTTATACAGTGTTAATGTCGGTTTGAACTTGGTCTTTCCCCAAACTAAGTTGCTGCTACCTGAATAAAAATCAGCAGCATGATGACCTGAACTTCCTCGTTTAACCCCACCACAGGCTGAGATGGCTCCTGAGACCACGCTGAGGACTGGTTCACAGAAAGGTAGGGGATCCTTCTGTCATGGCTCCTTTTTAAAACCTCTGCTGTGGGAACTCTTTAGACTTTAAAAAAAAAAAGAAAGAAAAGTGAAACATCTTTTTTGACATTTTTTTTGCGACCCTCTAGGAGCCAGTGAGATCTCGGATGCCTGCAAGCCCCTGAAGAAGAGAAGCAGAGCGTCGACAGACGTGGAGATGGCTTCTTCTCAGTACAGAGACACCTCTGACTCTGACTCTAGAGGCCTCAACGACCCACAGGTAGACTCACAACAACAAGTACAGAAATACACACACACAATGAGGAAAATACTGCAGTATCAATAAACATACGTCCACATGCAGAAGTCAGAATAAACAGTATTTGTCTCACAATATTTACAAGAAAAACCGTCAGTCATCTGATCATCATTGTCTCTGTTTAACTTTGCCTATTTGCATATTTTTTATTTGTGCAGTTTCACCAATGGTTCTTTTTTTTACACAACTCAGCCGAACAGTTTGATCAGCAGTAAAAATGAATTGTTTCCAGCTACTTAGATATTAATATTTTAGAGTATTTTTTTATTCATGATTGTGATCTGAATATTTCTGGGTTCTGTACCTGAAAACATCACCAGGGGCTATTGAAAGGTGCAATGGGAATGGACCAAACCATGAATCAAATTATTCATTAATTAATAATGAGTGGGGTACACATGTGGTCACACCTGTGCTTCTTCACAGTAAACGCACCACCGCGCTCACTCTTTCTCCGTCTCGCAGGGTCTGTTCGGGAAGAACCTCGATAGTCCAGCAGCAGCCGACGCAGACGCTTCAGACACTCAGTCCGTGGACTCCGGCTTGTCCCGTCAGGACGGCAGCACCGGCAAGAGGGACACCGTCTGCCAGGTCAGCGCCGCTCATGATTCACCATCTCTCTCGTGCCGTACTCTCTCACTCAACGGGCTTCCAGTTATCGTTTTTTTGTTTTTTTGTTTTTTTTACACAAACCGTCTCTCTCTGCGTTGTTTGTGCGTAGATCTGTGAGGTGTACGGAGATGGCTTGGCGGTGTGCGAAGGCGACTGCGGCAGACAGTTTCACCTGGACTGTCTCGGCCTGACGTCCCTGCCCGAAGGCAGGTTCACCTGCCTGGAATGCAGAAACGGTGAGCGAATTTGGCAACACAACCTTAACCGTCACAGCTGTTGTGTTCGGCTCTGTGCGTTCGACTTCTCTCTCATTCTGTTTTTTTCTCCAGGCAATCATACTTGTTTTAGCTGTAAAACGGCGGGCCAGGAGGTGACGCGCTGCTCCGTGTCCGGATGCGGCTGTTATTACCACGAGGACTGCGTCCGCAAGCTCCCGGGCACAACCGGCGGTTTGGACGGAGGCTTCTGCTGCCCTCAGCACAGCTGCTCTACCTGCTGCCTGGAGAGAGACCTGCAGCGGGCCAGTAAAGGTAAAGCAGCCTCCACTTTGCTTTCAAGCTCCTCTGACTTCCTCTTTGAGGCTGCAGTGGAAGCTTTGGGGTAATGAGACGGTGTTACATCAGCAAAGTGTATGAAAAACAAAACTTTCGGGCCTCTTCTAAAGTATTAGAAAAAAAAAACAGAATGATGCAAGGGTGAAGGCTGTACCTCCTTGTATATGGGAGAGGGAAGAAGTGCAAGAGGAAGAAATAGTGTTTTTCTAGAGGGAAATCAGATTGAGAAAGAGAGAACTTTAGAAATCTTGCACTGCACATAATACAGGGGGTTTGGTGACACAATTGTTGCTGCAAACATCCGGTTTCACCTGAAACTTAAAGTGCTCTATTTGGTTTTTAAAGTGAGTGGCATCTGGAGGCTGCAGACCAATTGGAGGAAAACAAAGTAATGTTTTTTTTAGACGATGGTGCATTATGTTTGCTGGAAATCACCCATCTGCAAAAAAAACATAAGGGGAGGAGATGCACCATGTTTGCAACAAAGTTCAGATATATTTTGGTTTAAATATGAACCTCAGATGCTGAGGTGCCAAAATGCGCCGAGAAAAAGTCACATTGTGACACCATTGGCTACAATTTGTACCTTTTTAATTAAAGGTGTCTGACCTAATTCATTATAGAAACTCTGCAGTGATTGGGAGTGAATATTTTCCCAGCTCCAAACTGCTGTAAAGTGGCTGCTGAACTCAGCTGTCCCCGCCCCCCTTCCCCCTTCTTCCAGGTCGCCTCATGCGCTGCATCCGCTGTCCGGTGGCCTATCACACGGGGGACAGCTGCGTGGCGGCGGGCAGCATGGCCCTCACCCATCACATCATGATCTGCAGCAGCCACGGTGGCGCCAAGCGGAACGGCCTCCTCACCTCCCCCATCAACGTGGGCTGGTGCTTCCTGTGTGCCAGAGGTAAGCTCTCACCACTGCACACGCCACTGGCCTGCCTCTCCTGCAGCCGTGTTTATTTTATTAAGAAAAACAAAAACAAAAAACATTTTGGCCGTTCTTAATATCTCCACACTCGCCACAAACGGCAAAATCAGTTCTTCTGTCTTGCACCTCACATTGGGGCATCAACAGGACGTGATCGCCCACCATTTCTTTTCAGGAATACAACCTTTTTTTATATATAAATGAAGTCATAACAGCAGTAACATCTCATGAGTGAAAACCGAAACCCCATAAACATCATTTTAATCTTTTAATATTACATGTTTCATGAGATGTAATGTTTGTTTTCCATCACGATACTAATACTCTGAATGATCCGGGCTGTTACACTGCACTCTGCTTAGAACGGTCCCATCAGTCCTGGATGGTGACCAGTGAGAAAACACAGGATTCACCCTTTTGTTTTTTCCTGTCCAAGTTGAGTGCACTGTTTAGCCTCTTTGTGTCAGAACAAACTTTATTTTGTGTGTGTGTGTGTGTGTGTGTGTGTGTGTGTGTGTGTGTGTGTGTGCGTGTGTGCGAGAGAGACTGTGAGTGTTTGCTCTTTCTCTTTTTTGTGAATTTTGGGTAATTTCGAGTTTTGACTGCGGCTCACCCCCGTCTCTTCCTGTGTGTCTTGTGTAGGACTGTTAGTGCAAGACCTTACTGACACCATATTAAGTTCATATGCCTATAAGTCCCACTACCTTCTGACTGAGTCAAATCGTGCTGAGTTGAAATTACCTATGATTCCCTCTCCTTCGTCAGCTACCAAAAAGAATGTTGGGAAAGGTAACTGAACCGTTTTTCTCTTTCTCCTGTCCCACGGGTCTGTGTTTGGGTCCTGCCCTCACGCCCCCCCCCCCCCCCCCTCCTTTTTTTTGTAGGCATCTTTCATTTCAAAGGCTTGAGGTGCAAAGTTAATTAACTGGTTAAATAAAAAGATGCCGTTAATTGCAACGCAGAGTGGCGCAAAGTAACTTCAGCCAAGTTCCCTAACACATTAACAGAAGACAATGGGCCTCATGCAAGAACACTTTTCTATTCTTATTCCAAACCTGTCTTTTCTGAAGAGCGTGTGAGAAGTCGGATTCACCAAACAGAGCTCGGTGTGCGTTGAGCATTTTCACAGCGGGCATTTTTGACTTGTCACAGTAGGAAAAACACAGGTGTAAATAACAGGATTAATCCAATTTAGCTGCAGTTTTCAGTGTCCGGTTAGAACATGTTAGAATAGAACAGAGAAAATTTTAACAATGTTATTAACACCTGTCCTTCGCCCACTATGACATGTTATGTCTGTTGGGGGGGAAAAAAGGCTCGTTGCAATCATAGTTAGGATAATTGATGCCCCAGAATTGCAATATATACTGTAATGCTTTAATTCAAGAGTAAAAAGATATGCTGTAGGAGAACAGCAGACAAACTTTAGACAATATTAATACAGCGGACAGCGATGTGTCATCAGAGCAGCTCTGGACTGACACAGAAATAACTGTGACTTGGTCACATGTAAGCAAGCACCAATATTCAATTGAATTTTTATTTGTATACTATTTTTACTATATACTATTATTTACTGGAATTAAAATTCAAATTGACAAATTTTTTGATGCATTAAAAAAATATTATTATTTTTTTTACCAAGTTGCTGGTGGACGATTCATAATTTAATAATAAACAAAAATACCATATGTTTATTTGATACATTTTGTTTTGAAAAGCTAAGAAAGCACTTTTTAAACACTGGTATCGGATCGGTACTTGGTATCGCTATTGGTTTTGGGACTTACAAAAATTCTGATTGGTGCGTCCCTAGGCACGTGACAACAGGTATATATAACCTCTGTCTCTCTGTTGGCGTCCAATGGGAGAACTTTGAGTTGAGAATTTGTATGGCAGTATAGGTTTTATTCTAAAGTCCAGAATGAACCTCCATGTTCAAAGAATAAACTGTTTGACCTGACCTTAGATGCTAAAGAAATGACATGAGATGGATGAGAGATTATTATTTAGCAAATTTTTTTTTACCTTCTTAGTGAATGGGCACACCATGATAATTTGGTCTGCTGTAGATATACATTTTTATTTAGTTATTGAGAGATATATAATTTATTATTGTCATTATACGTTTTGAAAGTCTAGTTTTTTTTCTTCCTGTGGAGAAAGGCAGACTGACTGTACATGACTTGTTTTGAATTGTCTTTGTACCCAGGGAGAAGTTACTGCGACAAGTTCTCTTAAATCACTCGTACGTGCCACTTAACAACTCTGTGTGTGCGTGATTCTTGCACGAGGCCCATTGTGAGATTATTTCGCGCTGTGCATGAACAATCTCTGCAATAAAGCTGTTTATAAACAAGTTAAATCAAACGTTCTTTTCATTTTCAACATGTGAAATTTCTTTGCTAGGAAAAAACAGAGTTGGTCACCAAACCTCCAGTACTTAAACTACTGTATGATGCCGTGGACTAGTTCAGGTCCTGTCTGTGGTTTGTGGAGCTTATCGCTGCTGGAGGGGCATACACTGCTTCTCTGCTTCAGCACTCTGGGCTTTATTTTAATTTTTTTATTTGGAAGGCCTCGCACCTTTTTATGCTGACTGCAACTAATTTTATTTTTATTTTTTATTATTTTCGACTGAAATTCTCAGACGAAAACAAAATTCTGCTCACCTCATTTCCTCGAGCTTTGACCTGCCTTGGATGGAATATAATCTCAATCGGGACGAGATCTGATCACAGTCGAGCAAAGATCAGCGCAAGAATAGTGAGATTGCTCTCTTTCAAAGTTGCGTAAGATACATGATTCCATGCAAGCTGGTCTGTGCAGGATGCGGTTTGTGTGATGGGAAAAGTTTGCTTTACTAGCAGGACTGCATGCCTGCTTTTTAAGTATAACCCTGATTCATTGTTAACTCGCTGGCTGATTTTTATTTTTTTTATTCCCGTGCTGCCGCATGTGTTTCCCTTAGACTGGTCTTGGTACATTGCTCTGAATCTGATTGCCAGACATGCCAGAACTGCTGCAATGAAAAGTTAGTGCAACCGAGCTGAGAACACGCAGGTGTTTCCAACCACGTTCGGTCTTATTCGTGCAGCGGTGGCTCTCACAGGAGCCTTCACTCAAACAAAAAAAACTCCTGGCATTCATTTTTTTTAACTTCAGAATAATGCCCAGATGGAATTATGATAGCTTATAGATATAAATATTTTCCCTACATGGACACTATTTTCATATCGCACCAGATGTATTTGTAGCATTTGTACTTTTTCTCAGGCTTGTCTGCAAATGAGATTCAGAGTTTGTCCAGGTTTTAAGGTGCATCACCTAATCATACACTCCTCCTCTCTTTGCATACCCATTTCCCACAACGCATGCACACATACACACACCCACACCCACACAAAAAACACCCACACACACACACACACACATACGTATACATCTTACAAATGTAGGAGGCAAGTTGCTGTGCTGCGACACATGCCCGGCTTCCTTCCACCCGGAGTGTCTGGAGATGGAGATGCCGGCGGGGGCGTGGTCCTGCAGCGATTGCAGGGCGGGGAAGAAACCACACTACAAACAAATTGTCTGGGTCAAACTGGGCAACTACAGGTACGCACAGAGTACCGGTCATGGGACTGCTGTGGGGTTGTGCAGTCAGTTTATGGTACGGTGACTTTTAAAGGATAGGTCTGGTGATGTTCTGTGTTTATGTCATTTAAAAACCGCCAAAACCAACCACAGATTTATGGCCTCAGTAAGAACAAACTGGCTTTGGGCTGAGAACCACAGACAGGCTATTAACAGACTAGCATTAACATTAGATATGTAAAAATATAGTCATATTGTAGAAGTTCAGTGCAACAAATTTGCGTGTTGTGATATTTTAGACGCAGGGGACACAAATGTCTCCTCCATGTAAGAAAAAGCATCATGTGCCCTAAATCCTGCCTTTCTATTGGCCAAACATGTAGATCTTATAGGTCAGTGATCTCAGATTTTTTGCAGGCGCTTGATAAATCAATGTTTGTTGCCAGAAACCAATGAATTGTCATTCACATAGTAAGTTTCAATGGGAACGAATTGCGAGCAAAGTAAATGTTTGCAAGTGTGACTCTGCACTCGAGCCATGATCATTTTTGTTTTTAATGGTTCGTTTTTTTCACCGCACTCTTCTTCACTTTTCAACGTCCCCGTCCCGCTTCCCTCGCAGGTGGTGGCCAGCGGAGATCTGCAACCCTCGCCTGGTGCCGTCCAACATTCAGAGCCTCCGCCACGATGTCGGCGACTTCCCCGTCTTCTTCTTTGGCTCCCACGACTACTACTGGATCAACCAGGGCCGCGTCTTCCCTTACGTGGAGAACGACAAGAACTTCGTCACGGGTCAGATCAACATCAACAAAACTTTCAAGAAAGGTAACTTCTTCCCAGAAAGGATTCCCCCCCCCCCCCCCCTTACTTTTCGGCCAAATATTCTGTGGTTCTCGTCCTTTTTTTGGAGCAAGGATGAGATGTCTGAGATCTGAGAGGTTGTTGGTGTGTTTCAGCTCTGGAAGAAGCGGCCCGGCGGTTCCAGGAGCTCAAGGCACAGAGGGAGAGCAGGGAGGCTCTAGAGCAGGAACGCAACTCTCGCAAACCTCCGCCCTACAAAATCATCAAGGTGACGTCATTTAAAAAATATCCCACTTCAGACAAATAAGCCCAAAATTGTATACGTTCTGTGTTTTTACATCTCCTTTTGGTGTCTTCTTGTATCAGTCCAACAAACCAGTGGGGAAAGTGCAGGTGCACGTAGCTGACTTGTCGGAAATCCCGCGATGCAACTGCAGACCAGCGGACGAGCACCCTTGCAGCCTCCACTCTCAGTGTCTCAACCGCATGTTGCAGTACGAGTGTCACCCACAGGTCTGAACGCATATCTGTTATTTAGCTCACCTCCCGAACTGTAAAAACAGTGAGACAGCCCTCTGAAGGGGCACCTTACCTTTCTTTTTTTCTGTGTTGCCGTCGTCAGGTGTGTCCTGCAGGAGACAGCTGTGAGAACCAGTGTTTCTCTAAGCGGCTGTATGCAGAGACGGAAGTGATTAAGACAGACGGCCGCGGCTGGGGCCTCAGGACCAACCAGGCTCTCAGGAAGGTGGGCGTTGAGCTCAGTCCTTTTTCTTTTTTTTTTTTTTTATCTAAAATGACATCATTGGGTCATCGGATTACAAAACAGACACATCAGGATATCAGGATCCACCTTGAATATCTGACAAATGGAAACTAAATGCCCAAACGCACTGGAAGTGATAAATAACCAGCGTCAATTGATGCAGGCATCAGAGTTGAAATGCCTACACCCCAGATCCAGTAGTATTTTAGGAGAAGATCGCTGAAGCTATTTTTATTTTTATATATTCATAATAACTAACAATAATAATTGATATTGCTATATTTAGTAATCTATCGTCTTCTGGGGAAAAATCCATAGCTTTTGATTCCTTTCTAGCTCTCTACAAACAGGTACTGTAACAAACAAAACAGTTTGGTCGTTGGATCCTCATTTGACGCTCAAATCAAAACAAGGTCGGAGTAGGGTTGTGTGTTCGGCCACTTACTACAATAGTTTTACTTGAAAATGCGTGCGTCAGGTGCTTTCAAAGCGTATAACTGTTTAATATGACCCTCCTGCTTTTTAGTTTTCTTCAATTTCTTGTATTGGAAACACTCAGTCAAGGTTTGCTTTTAATCAAATTCAAAGACACCGTAGGGACAGTCGGACTACTGAAAAGAAAATCGAAAGGGTGACCAGTGTGAGTCACAAAAACGCGTGTTTTCTAATGGAAGACTTTTAAGTTTGAAATGACAAGTAAAAGACCGAATGACCTAATGATCAGACTGTCAATTAAAAAGGCTTTGAAACGCATTGCGATGACGTGATGTTTCCCGCCCTTCTCACTAATTGCGAGTTGTTTTAATTAAGGGTGTCTGTGCTGAAACGCGATGCTTGTTCTTCCCTCCAGGGCGACTTTGTGATGGAGTACGTGGGCGAGGTGATCGACTCGGAGGAGTGCCAGCAGCGGATCAAACGCGCCCACGAGAATCACATGGCCAACTTCTACATGCTCACCCTCACCAAGGTAACGCCAGTGACACTGGTGAACGTTGTTCGCTCCTTACACACCCGGTGTCTCAATTGTCCCTCTTTCCTTCGCAGGATCGCGTGATCGACGCCGGCCCGAAGGGAAACTCGGCGCGCTTTATGAACCACAGCTGCAGCCCAAACTGTGAGACCCAGAAGTGGACGGTAAACGGGGACGTTCGCATCGGACTCTTCACCCTTTGTGACGTCGAGGCCGGTGAGTTCACGCGGAAACATAACACACACACACACACGCGCATGTACGTTCTGTTTTGCATTCCTACGTTACGTGCTCTCAGAGCGAGCCGGGCGATTCGTGAAATCTGTCTATGGTGTTCCCGCAGACACGGAGTTGACGTTCAACTACAACCTGCACTGCGTGGGCAACCGGAGGTCGTCTTGTCACTGCGGATCAGACAACTGCTCTGGATTCCTGGGAGTGCAGCCAACGGTGAGGACGTTGACCTCTCGTTGTGCGTTTTCTCGAGCAACCCTGGCTTTTTGACACCACTTTTGTTTTCTCCCGATGTTTCCTCCAGAGCGCCGTGGTGATGGAGAAGGAGGAGAAGGCCAGGAACGCCAAGCTGAAGCCGAAGAAGCGGAAGCTGCGGCCAGAGGGCAAGCACACGCACGAGTACTTCTGCTTCTGCTGCGGAGAGGGAGGCGAGCTGGTGATGTGCGACAGGAAGGAGTGTCCGAAGGCGTACCACCTGCTGTGTCTCAACCTCACCAAGCCGCCATACGGTAATGACACACTGAGCCTGTGTGAGAAGAATCTGTAGACGCGTGATGGCAAAATCTAGCTGATAACAATCTCAGTTGATTTCAGCAGCATAACAATCCTTTTGGGGAAAAAACTTTATTGATACCTATCCTGACTTATTACCACAAACTAACATAACTTCTTTTAACAACAGGTCAATTCCTAAAAAACGGGTACACAACCTTTTTAGGCCATGTCACTGGTTTACGAAGAAGATGTTTTCTTTCTTTTATTTGAGGCCTGAAACATATTTCATACTGAATATGAAAAAGCTAATATTACAGCCATGTCTCAAAAAACAACAAGATTTTTTGTTGCACATTTATTTACAAACAACATTTTTTGTCATTCTAATAATCTCACAACCCCTCAGATTAGTTTGAGACCTCTTGTGGAGATCACCCAGGTTGGGAACAACTGTCCTCTCGCTCATCTGCTGAGGTTTTTTAGATATCAACCTCCGAAGAACCAGTAAATAAAACTTAAAGCAACAACGTCATTTCTATTGAACTGAATGTTCAGTGGTCTGAACACTGAGCATTGTTGGCACACACACACGCATACACACCCGTGTAATTTAAAACATTTTAAAACAGAAATTCGAAGAGAAAAATAAATATTCAGTAATTCCCACAAGGAAGCAGAGATATGAACTTATCTGAAACAAACGTGAATTTGAGTAGCAGAAATGTGTGTTTTCTGTTCTCCTATCCTCTCGACCCTCATGACCCCTCACATTCATCTTGGTGGGGCCTCGACCCCCCTGGTCTGAAACCCGTAGTGACCTCTGTATTTGTCCGCAGGACGTTGGGAGTGTCCGTGGCACGACTGCAGCGTGTGCGGCGCCCCGGCCTCGTCTCTCTGTGACTTCTGCCCGCGCTCCTTCTGCTGGGATCACGAGGCGGGGGCCCTCACCTCCTCCGCCCTCGAAGGCCGCCCCTGCTGCTCCAGCCACGACCCCGTCAGCCCCCTGGGCTCCAACTCCGGCTCGACCCAGCCACGCCGCTCCGCCCTGAGCCCCGCCGTCGTCAAGGAGGAACCGGAGCCGGAGCTGGAGCCGGAGGCGGACCGGCCGGCTTCAGAGTGACACCGCGGCTCCCCTCAATACCTCATTCCCTGTAAAGTGCGCTCCCGTTTGGCCTCCTGGGCTCTGATCCCGCTCTGACGAAAGGGAATACAGTGCTTTTTCTTTATTTTTTTTTTGAACGGTGCTGCGGCCCGAGCCTGAGACACGCCGACGAACACCTCAATGCCGTTTGTTGCGAGAGCAGAGCGACTGGAGTGTCGGCAGGGGGAAGTGACCAGGGATCATCGAGCGCCGTTTTCCCTCCTCTCTTTGCCACAAACGCCACCACTAATGCTCTCCACAGACCAGACCACCACCTCATTATGTTTCGTTTTGTTTTTTGTTTTTTACAGCTGTGGAAATTGTGAGTGTTGTCACGTCGTCAGATACTGGAACTTTGATGGAGGAAGAGGAGGAGGAGGAGGAGGAGGAGAAGCTGAACATCTCCATCGTCACGCTGCTCCTCTCCTCGTTTACTTGCTTTAAGCTGCGGTCAGCATTTATTCCACACACACAGGATGGCCGTCTAGAAACGAGCCGGCCTTCCTCCTCCTCCTCTTCCTCCACAGCCGATCATCACTCAAGACGTGATCGTATTTCTCTCGTCTTCTAAAAAGGGGAGAGGGGGGGATGGCCGATTTTTGTGCAATTCTTTTCAGGACCACACTACATTCCAAACTTCCTTAGACATGGTTTTTAATATACTTCTGGGTATAGGTGAATATAATTATATACAGTATCTATGTTTGTTAATGTTTACAGACAGATTCTCTCACTTCATCTCAGTGAGTGGTGTATTACGTTTGTTTGTTTCGGTGTTAAGCATTGCGCAGACCTCCTTGTGAACATAGTCCTATTAAGGTGAAATATAATGGTATATAGCGTAATGGTATGACATTACAGAAGTGCTTGTGATTTTTCATATTGCCAGTCTCACTCGCCATTGTGTACATAAATTGGCTCATGGTATTGTAAAGTACGTGAAGATCGGGAGGGGCGGAGCCTCGCCTCTCTGGTCGTTCCTGGAAGAAGGAAACTCTTTCCCTTTTTATTTGTTTTGTTCTGGTCCCACATTTCCTCCAATTGCAATTGCTGTTATTTGTATAGTAGACGGAGGGGCTCAGCTTGTGATCACTGGTGCTGTCTTAAAGTATTGTTAATCAGCCTTAAGTTTGATTCTGGCTGTAGTGACTACTGCCCAGACGCAGTCCGTTTCAGTAACGTCGTGTACTGTGACTGCTTTCTTTGTTTTTTTTTGTTTTTTGTTTCGCCAAACTTTTCCTGAAAAGCACTTTTACACGGCTTGTCGCTCCACACTTTAGCTAGATCATACATATTCAGAAATGTGTATTAAAAGAACATAAGACAAGTGTTTCAAAATGGATACCTCTTCTTGTAGTAACGTCTGAATTATAACTGTGTTGAAACTCTTTTTTTTTTTTTTTTTTTTTGTTCTCTCTCGAGTTGCTGGGCCTTTTTTTTTTTTTTTTTGTTTGTTTTTTTTTTAAGGAAAGTGGCCTAAATGCTGCTGCTTTCTTTTGGCACAAGTAGGAGTGACTGCCAGCCCGGCTTCGTACAGAAAAAGTCTGCAGTGTCCTCGAGACGCACTTCTTCCTTTCTCACCCGGAGAACATCCTCACGGCTGGGCTTTGTGTAAAGACGTAATGGTTATAACAACAGTCCAGTATGATGTACAAATACAAACTTCTGTACAGTGTTTTTAATCGCTCATCCGTCAAATCCAAATTCTTGTGTATTTATTGCACCACATTTTATACCAATTTCTTTTTCAAACACCAGTGCAGTAATTTGTCTCCCCTCCTCCACCACGGTGTAAGTGAAATAGAAATTTAAAAAAAGACAACACGGGGAGTTTTACACAATATATCTGTATTTAGTCATTGCGTACGTTTTAGTTTATTCTCACATTGGGTGTAATGACTCCACACTTTTGGTGACAGCCGCTGCTCATCGACCTGTATCGTGACTCACTGTAATTGGTGTTTTAAAGCAGTGTGAAGCAGTTCAATATAGGAATGTAAAGTTGCAGTTTTTGTGCTTTTTTTTTTTTTTTTTTTTTTCCCAAGCCTGGACTCAAGGAAGTTTAACTGTAAACATGTCTCAGCCATTTGCTTGTGATTCAACCCTGGTTACCGGAAAGTATGTTTGTGCCGTTAATTATTATTATTTTAATTTTTTTTTAAAGCCTGTTATCGTGGTCGGCCTTTACAGTCGCGCTACAGGGTAAAACTGTGCCAATTTTTCCAAATCATTTCAGAACATTTAGGCTCTCATCGAACGCAGCGCGCACATTCAGTCAGTCTCCAGTTTATTAGGAACAATGAGCTAAAACTAATGCAGTCTGACACAACAGTCCTGCAGTAAATCCTCACTCGTGACGATTCTGAAATCAGGTTCTGTAGAGGTTCGTGAAGGAGGATTCATTGACTGTTGTGTTAGACTGCATTAGTTTTAGCTCATTGTACCTGATAAACTGAGAGGAACTCTTTCAGAAAAAGGACTAAAGAAATGGGGGGGCACATTGAATGCAGAAAAGTCTTCTGGGGCCACACTGCACATGCATTGTTCTGCACATTGAAGTAAAGTAACAATAAGCAAAACTGTTTTTTGAGTGGAGGACTTTAATATGCTAAATATACACACATACATAGATAACAGAGGCACTTCATCTTGTACTTCAATGTCTGTATTTCAGAGGGTTTCATGATTAATTTGTGCACGCTCTTCTGCATTCAACAGCTGCTCTTCTTTCCTCATTCTGTCATGACTGACCCTTTAGGAAGCTGCTTTTTTTTTTTTTTTTCCTTGAAAAAAGAAAAAGACTACTCAATGATTTCTTGCAGCTGTCTAATTTGCGAAACTCTTCTCATTCAGAGACAAACTTTTTGTTCAGTACTAATAATTAGGTTTTTAGTATCGGGAAGGTGCATCTTTTAAGTCACTTTTACAACAAACTACAAACGGTCTGCGTGTGTAAACTTGAATTTTCTTCATTTTTATTATTTATTATTGTTTTTTTTACACGTATGATTATTCGACCGCAGGCTTTCTTGACTCTTCTGTTTTGCGGCTTCAGATAAAATGTCTGAGTTGTGATGAACTGGTTCTAAAGCCTTTTTTTTTCTGTCAAGGTGCCTGTTGAGCAGAAATGCAGGCTTCCAACATCAAACACTGGTTTAATCCACTTCAGTTGGAGAGTCTATTTTTTCTTGCACAGAGTTTGTGTGACAGCCTTTATTTTACAAATTTTTTTTTTTACACCCGCAGATCGCATGATCATTGTTGTCCTCTCCTGCCCTTCCCAGGTGATCCAGCAGCAGTATTACAGCGCCAATCGTTTCATTCTCTTAAAATGCTTCTTGTGTGTACGTTTTATGTTGGTTTCTTCTCATCGTAGTGCCCACATTTGTTATTGAAGAGACAGCATGTTTTCTCTCATTTAAGTGACCCTTAAATACACCCGAGGAGGATTTTTTTGTTTTGTTTTAAATGTCCAGGATTATTATAATAATTTTTTTTATATACACTTCAATTTAGGATGGAACCCCCCCCTCCCCTTGTATGTTTCAGTTCACTGTGACGTCTTTTGTTTGTGCAATGTGGCCGACTGTCTCCTTTAATTGACATGCTGTCCGAGCAGAAATAGTGTTTGAATACATGAATAAATAATTCACCTTCATAAGCACTCATCTCTTTTTACTTGTAGTAAAATTACTTACAGTAACTCTAACTGGGGTCATATCTATCTCTCTTGGTGTTGCTTTGATTAAAACGTGGATGAACACAAAATACCATGTTGATTACTGTTCGACCTGTGTTACTGCATACTGCATATTGTCGAAGAACTTGTAAATAGTTTGCATTGAACTTGCATAGAATCATGTTAATGTGGCGTGCTCTTATTTTTTTGTTTGCCTGTATAATTCTGCTTCTAAATGTGTGTGACTGTTGAGACGACACTCTTTTTGTACATGACTGTCTTTTTATTTGAGAATATTGATTCTGTCCTTTTTCATTCTAAAGTTGAGTTTGAAGAGTTCAGACATGCCTGAAGTTTGACTTTAATAAAGCTGTACTCTGTCTCAGTGAAACGCTCTCGCTGTATGGGGTTTATTTTAACACATTCAGTCAACTACTTTGAAATAATATTATGTGATGAGAAATTAACATGTTAGGATCAATTTAAATAATGTTGATTCCAAGCGTACTAGAGATAATGCAATTCATCATTATTATGGGTGTTAATGGTTAACACCATTAACATTTATTTTGGTGTTTACCAAAATAAAAGTACTGCCTATAGTAAAAAGTGATGCAGATAATAAACGATCTGGTACCGCATGTGATTTAAAACACAATTCATTAGACTTTTTTTTATGGTAAGATGAAATTTATTCATTCTAGATGGCTTTAAGTGGACGTGGCTTTTTGCATCCACATGTCAAGACAGATACAATTACATACATGACCATTTCCGGTTTATACAAAACTAAAGACCTCCCACATTTTCCAGTTTTGTACTGGTCAAATACCATGTTTTTAGTTTTGTTAGTAATTTAGATAAACTCCAGAGTTTACGGAATACAAAAGTGACTTCGTATTTACAACCCCTGTGGTCACACAGCAAGCTCATTTAATCCATTTATTATTATACATATTCTGATTCTTACAATTGTGCATGCTATGTAATCAAATTGATTATGCCAAATAATAACTGATTAATACTATTGAGTAATATTGTAAATGTGAGTTATACTGAATATCCAGTAGTATCAAACACATTTGCCACAATGATCAAAATGCATTTAATCTGTAACATGATTCAAACTGAATGATATATTTAGAAATAAAATGTAATACCAATAAAAAACAATGTATATGTTCAGTTTAATCTACCGACTATAACAGTGTGGTACGGTCGAGATAACCAGAACAAGCGAGAAAGTGGATCTTGAATTGAGGTTATTTTTTCACAGTACATTTCTACGTTTTAAATACATAATTTTACTTTGAAAATACCAAACCAGAAGTAGCTCAGACGTAGCCGTTAGCTTCACGCGGCGCTCATCTCTCCTCCGTGGCATCCCTGTTTCCCCTCAAGTCCTCAAATGTGAGACTCTGACCGTCGGCAGAAACAGAGAGTGTGGAGGCCCGCTTCACGTTAACGGCACAACTTAACATGAGCATGAAGAGGTAAAATAACGACCCGTTAAAGGTTAGTAACGGAGCTGGAATTTCCTGTTTGACAACGCGGAAATGGGCCAGATGTCTTGTTTGACAGATGTTGCTAGCTTAGCTTAGTCTGCTAACATCTCGTTTCTACAGCACAGGGACCTAATGTTAGCTTGTTAGCCTTGTCCTGTGTATTGTCAGAAGCCGTGCATTTAATATTTTTGTCATAAAACCCAGACTTGTTTTTACTCAATTCAACAACAGCTTTTAAATCTGTCCATCACCTAGAGGAGGGCGCTGGTGCAGCATGTTGGCCTTTATAGCAGCTTTTAGACAGACAGCAGGTGCTACACAGAGGCAAAGCTTCAAGATACTCAACATATCTTCACCAGTATTTCACCAGATACACTCAGAGTAGAAGTAATGGAGACACTTTATAGAAAGGAGAATATTTTCCTCATTTGTTCCGTTTTGGGTTATTTCTTTTCCTTTATTTGTTAGACAATAAGGGACAAGGGTCAGTAACGACTGCTGATGTGGATGTATGGAGGTCATGGAGAAAGTCTGGGGTTTGAAATCTAGGGAGGCACTGATGTGTTTCATAAGACCACAAGGATATTATCCCTTTGTTTTACACTGACACTCGTCTGAATGGTCAAATTCAGGAGCATCACTTTTTCTTTACAGACTATGGTTAACTATGGTTAAGACTATGGTTAAAGCCACGTTTCTTTTCCTTTCCTTCAGGATTATAGTGAGCAGTTATTTGTACTATTTAACTGATGTATGTAGTAATTAGATTTACTGTAACAAGCTAATTAACGGCATAAACTTAACCTCATATCTTCATGTATTTTACTAGTCCCAGTTAAGTTAAATGGAAGTGGAGTGATCATGTTTGCTGTTGACTGAAGTCCACTCCAAGAAGCAAAATGAAGAGGAGGCTGCTTCGGGGCTTCCTGTCGGAAGTTTCCATCCGGCTGGCGCTGTTGCTCGTGTTCCTGTAAGTAATACATCCCATCATTTGTGTCCCTGCTTTATGGTTCTGTTATTTAAGAAGGCGGGCATTGTTTTTAATGATGCGAGAAAATAAAACACAGCCCTCTTTTTATGTTGTTGCAGTGTGACGGAGCAGCTTTCTCCTTTCTACCGGGAGATCCAGCCAGAGGAGATGTGGTTGTATAAGTTCCATCGTGTGGAGAGAGACCACGTGCCCACCACTCTTATGTTTGTGAGTAATACGCCTGAGTTCAAATCAATCCCTCGGTTCAGTTTGTTCCACTAGTATTTCATCCCTGACAACAACGGGTGTATGTGAACTCACTTCCTTTCTCTTACTGTGTTTAACATTGATCACGGGCAAGAAGAAGCAACCAAGTAAAACCTTTTGTCATTAATATGTACACCTGCTTACAGACGGACATTAAGTGATCATCCTCTTGTTTTGTTCAGAGTGTGGCGGTTTTCACCCCGCTGATTGTCATCCTGGTCTTCACCTTCCTGAAGACGACGGAGCGAGGAGATCTGAAGGAGGCCTCGCTGGGTGAGACAGCTGCATACAGACGTCATCAAAAAGAAATGTCAACATTTTTTTTGTATTTTGTCATTTTCATGATTCTGTTCCGTCTCCCTTTGTCACCCAGCTGTGACTTTGACTCTGGTGCTGAACGGAGTCTTCACCAACGTCATCAAACTCGTTGTTGGCAGGTAAACATTGTACACAAAGACAAACGTGGTCAGTGATACGGAAACCCAGTGTCACAGTGGATAAAAAGCCTAAATCTGGCCTTTCTGTGTTTGTGTCTCCCCCCCCCCCCCCCCTAATCAGGCCACGGCCCGACTTCTTCTATCGCTGTTTCCCAGACGGTCAGATGAACCTGGAGTTGCGCTGCAGCGGTGACCCAGATGTTGTCATGGAGGGCAGGAAGAGCTTTCCCAGCGGGCACTCTTCCTGTAAGGGCCTTTTTACGCTCGATAATGCCTCAGACTGTAGCTGTTACACTTTCATCGGCAGGCAACGAGGAAAGCACGAAGTGGGAAGGACAGTGGTTCATGTATATAAGTGTATTTTAGCCTCCAGGCTCTTATCTTGTTGCATGAGAGAATCCCAATCTCCATCTGTAATCCTCCTCTTTTCTGTTGTTTTCTCTTTGTGTTCTCCCTGATTCTGTGTAAAATAACGTCCTCCGGCTCTGATCGTCCCTTCCGTTCCTTTCTCCTCGGCCCCAGTTGCCTTTGCGGGTTTGGGTTTCACGGCGCTGTACGTCGCGGGAAAGCTGCGCTGCTTCAGCACAGCGGGCCAAGGCAGAGCGTGGCGGCTGTGTGCCTTTCTCACGCCTCTACTCATCGCTACAGTGATCGCCCTCTCCAGAACCTGCGACTACAAACACCACTGGCAAGGTCAGAGTCACAGAGAATGTCAATCATGTAAAAACAACAAAAAACAAAAAAATTGGTGACCAGTAGAGGAAGATGATTCAAAGGGAAAACAGTGAAAGAGCATGTGTGAAGAATGGGAACACAATTTACTGGGGTCGATTGCTGGGATCATTATAATGAGAGTTGTTATTTCCTTTAATCAACTTCCACCAGCCTGTACAGCAGTATTAACCTCATCCACGCTGGTGACCTTTTTTTGCGTGTACATTTTTTTTTGGCACATGAAGATGGTTGTGTTCATAATTCTGCTAACAAACTCTGATCGGCCTGTCTCTGGACTCTGGTAACCGCTCTCAGTTCAAATGCAACGCCTCATTATGGTTACAAACCTGTTAATTTTACCTTTGTGGCATTGAACATAAGATTTATATTGAGTTATTAATATTAATATTATTATCATTCTTTTCTTTACTTTAATGCAGCAATTATTTTGTAACGATACATATTAATCTACTAAAATGCTGGATATTTTATGCAGTTAAAGCTTCTGATTTATTTCATTTAAATCTTTTTAATATCAAATTCATTCCAGATGGTAAAACTCTTGAACTTTGATACTTTTTAAAGGAATTTCAGTGTAAAAAACTTCCTTCAAATCTACCTTGATGCATTCAGTTCTGTCCATATTGTAAGGACACTTTGAACAGGAAACCAGAGTGTTTACCCTTTTTATCTGTAAAATATTAACTCAACCAGGAAGGAATAAAAGTCAAATGTCCACATTGTTCTTAGATTTATTGCACTAGTATCCTCCTGCCATGTGTTCCCACGACCTCTCTCCCGTATAAAACCTTCAGTCACTGAGCTCTGCGTCCTCGCTTGCTGCTCACAAATCTAACCTCCCCAGCCTCCTCTTGTATCAGCATTTAGTTTACACGTGAATATGTAATATTTTGAATGCGTGTTCATGCTCATTACATGTTGTGTATCTCAGGGTTTGTGAGCTCAGGGAAAGTCTGGCAGGCTCAGATTTAAACTTGTCCCCCTGAGTCCAATGTATATCTCACACTATGTCCGTCTATTGTCTTATCCCTATATTTTAACTCGCACTATGTTATGTCTTAGATTCAGTTTTTTTTATTTGCTTTAATTTGTCTTTATACATATTTAATGATGATTGAGATCAATGATTTACGTTTCCAACGACAAATGCTTCTCTATAATTGTTGTGCGTATGACAACAACTAAGTAACTTGAAGCTTGTGTTAAGTAAACTGAATCTCATAACCTCAAACATCTCTCTGAGGGTTGATATTCTCCCAAAACGTTAGCTAGAAAAAAGAAAATTTGTGTGAAGCTGTGGGAGGAAACTCCTCACACGCGTGTGTTCTCTCCTCTCTCTCTCCTCCGTGCAGACGTGTTGGTGGGTTCTCTGCTGGGCCTCCTCTTCGCCTGGTTGTGTTACCGTCAGCACTACCCTTCTCTTCGGGACGCCGACTGCCACAGACCGCTGCGTCACAGAGAGGCTGTTCCCGCCGCGCAGGAGCGCAAGCTGGCCAACTCCAACTACATCCTGCCCCTTTAGAGCAGCCGCACGCGTTACTGGTGTCATTCACACCGGGTTACCTGGTAAACCTTATCGTTACATCCTATCACCTTGCGGCCGGCCAGTTCACCAATATTTATTGTTTGTCGTCCGTCATTCTAACTGTATCGTGGGGATGTGTGAAACACTTGAGAGTTGCTGTAAAAAAACACCCCCAGTTTAACAATTCCATAAACAACAGACGTCATATTCCATATAAAAGTTGTTAGCATTGGAGGGCCTGGTGAATAAGATGACGTTTTATTATGTTGATGTCCGTGCGTTGATGTTCGTTCCAGACCTTTCGGGGGAAACAATATATGGAGAAGAGAATCGGAGCTCAACCTGTTGCCGAAAAATGATTTGGCGATTAATCGATAATGCTTTTGATAATTGATCGATCTTTTATGTTCTTCTATTCTTTTTATTTATCGACCAATGACGTTTTGTTTTTTGAAATAATTTACTGACATTTAACGGACTAAATAATTAAGTAATCAATGAATTTAACACATAATTGAGATATTGGATAACGAAAATAATTGTGATTTTAGTCTAAGCTTAAAAAGATCCACTTGTTAATGACTGAGAGCTTCCAACTGCATCTCCAAGTCTTCTTCAGCAGATGGAGCTGTTTCAGGTGGGATCACAAGACCTGAATGTGAAACTTTGTGTAATTTTAAATCATGAATTGTACTTTCATATCTTAAAAAAAAAAAAAAAAGCCTCCGTATTTTACTAAACCAGCTGGGCACTGTAGTTTTGAGTAAACATAATGCAACCAGGAGTAAATAGGGCATTTGTTGGGGACTATTTTCAGCTGCGGAGTAATATACATTTACATTAACAATGGAGGTCTACGGCACCGATGAATAAGACATGTCAGGCTTTGTTCGAAAGATCAATTCATTGTTGGTTTGTTTTTTGACTTGTTGACAAAAATACTTCCTATTACCAGAATGTTTGGTGAAATCTAAATACACGCTACATATCAACATAAGGCCGGCGCCTCTCTCAAAGCACCTCGATGTGTTGAGCAGGTTGATCAAAACCACGCGGTCAGCTTCATATCTTTGATCTGCACATCGCTCTACTGTCTCCATCTGGAGGGCTTTGAATCTGTCGTCCTATATTATATTCTGAATGTTTCCATGCACAGATTGTTTGATTAATATCTGGACAGGGTTCACATGCTCAGCCCTCAGTATATCGCGCCGATGTAGCAGCTCCTCCCATCTCCCCTCACGGTTTCTGCGTTGCTTTGCTGCACTTTCGTTGTGATAAACGAGAACAATGATCCCACCTTTGCTCTGACCGGACAGCACGTCTGCTACCATCATACCGTCAGCCAATATGACTGGAAAAGAAGAGGGGGGGGGGGGTCTTTCTGATGAACCTGAGTGAGGTCAGACTGGAACCTCTCCAGGTGATGGTGCTAGCCTCTCAGTGCTCCTGCTGGTCAGGTTTTCTATCCTGTTCATTTTATTGGCTCGTAAAGTTTCCTGGTAGTTTTCATCAACTTTCATTTAAGGCAGCGAACACCTGTAATTCAGTTCTGATTTTATGTTAACTTTTTTTCTTTTTATGGTCTTTCTGTTTAATTTTTTTTTCCTCCTGATTTTTCTTTCTGTTGTGTTCGTTAGGTTGGTTTTCAATTGGGAAAGAAAACATCAACATATCCCGCAGACATGACTCTTTTTGCAGGGTCTGAGCTCTTGTGCTCGTCGCTGTGAGTCGGGCTGAGAGCAGTTGATCACAGTGGTTTCAGACCAAACAGATGACCATGTGCCTTTGTTTACTACATGACTTTGTTAAGGAATGAAGTGTGGACTGCATGTTACGGGGTAAGCTCTCTGTCGCGTTGCGGACACAACTTTTGTTTTTAATCTTTACTTTTTTTTTTTTTTTTTTTTTTTCCAGTTGGGAAGCTATGACATGATGTTTAAATGTGGCATGCTGCCTTTCTTTACCTCAGAAAAAACCTGTACTTTCCATAAATGTTAGAGTCGATGGAGTCAAATGTGAAGATTTAAAGAGTGTAAAAAAAAATCAAACATTTTTACAAACTGAGACAACTAATATCTGAATTGAGTTGCTCGATCTTACTGATATTTATGACATGATGTACAGGTCTAAGTGTATTTAGTCTTGGGGCATGTAGGAGTTTACTTGAATTTTGAATATTCCTTTGTTTATATTAAATGTGATCATGTTATTTAATGAAAAACAGAATCATATTCGTGGGCACTTGGCTTTCTAGAGGCCTCTTTCAGACAAATTCCATTAGAAAAATCCTGCATGTTTTACAGCTCAATAGCAACATATTTTCTTCATGACCTTCTTCCAATTCCCCACATTTCCATCTGTTTCTATTGATTTGATGTGTTTTCAGTTTATGAATACTGCATCAGGTTGTTAATTATGTCTGGACTCCTTCAGAGCTTCTGTTGGTGACGAGGGATGATGCTAAAACTCGCCCGTTTGCTTCATTTACATCACGCTCATCATGATTTGCCTTGGCTTGTAGCACCATATAGCAGCCGCTCGTGCTGAAACCGTATCCTGATTGTACATGTTGTGATGCTTTTAATGACTCTTTTGGTGACACTAAAACGATGTTTCTAAATAATCTTGCAATACACACTGTCTTTTGCGTATTTTTTTCAGAAATGTGTGATGATTACAGGCACCTGTTTAGACACTATGAAATTTACTGTGGCAACTTTTTCATGACATGTTTGTAAGTAAGCAGCAGCAATAGTTTTAACATGTAATGTGGCATTATTTCTTAGGGGAGTGGGGTTGCATTGGGGGAAGATGGAGTCCTCTAACTGTTGAGTTCCTTCAGCCCTCCCGATCAGGATTAGCTAGTCCTGGAAGAAGTATTCCAATAGTTTAAAAAAGTAGAAATAGCAATACTACAGTGTAAAAGTACATTGAATTTTACTGAAGTTAAAGTACAAAATTATTAGCAGCAAAATACACTCAGTGTTTGAGTACTAAAAGTACTCATGCAGGTTGGCCCATTTCAGAATCGTACATATTAAATGACTTGATTATAATTAATGATGTATTCATATGTTCACTTTATTGATGCAGCTGGTAAAGGTGGAGACAATTTTAGTTACTTTATATACTGATGTGTAGCTTACCCCATAATACTATGTCATAATTATAAGTTGATCTATGTTTTTGTGTTATACAAAGTCAAACTAAAGCTGTCGGATAAATGTAGTGGAGTAATAAGTACAATGTTTGAGCAGTATATAAAGTAGCATCACATTTGAAATACTTGAGTAAAGTACAAGATCGGGGTATACTGTCGCGGGAATCAGTACAAACTGCAGTTGGTTGAGTGTTTCTTTGACAGGTTTCTCGGTTTCTCCTCTTTGTTGACTTCTTTTGGTGGGCGCGGCCTCGACCATATGACGTACGTTACTTTCCTCTCAGTGATTGGTTGGAATCTGACCTGGATGTGACGTGCAGATTTTGGCGCCACATTTCCAACAAGGAACAGCAAAGAAAGCTCCGTGTCTGACAGCAACCCGAAAACATCCCGCTGTTCATGCCGGTTTAGCCTTATTTTACCCGGTCTGTCCTCATCTTAAAAGCTTTTTTTTTTTTTATCTGTTGAAAATGTTTATCACGGACATAAGGAAGGAATTTTATGAAGTTGTTGCCAACCAGGTGAGTTGTTGAAGGGCAACTGACTGAAACTTGAAACATGGAAGTATTGTTTGCGTTAACGTTACTCAGCGGACCTTATAGTCTGTCTGAGACGCAACGTATTTATATTATATAGTTTACCTTTTAACTAAACGTTTGCTTTCAGAGAGTCGCACTCCTGGTGGCGTCAGACATCGACGCTCTCTGCGCCTGTAAGATTCTACAGGTAAGCTAACGTGCTAACTGTTAGCAAACATTAGCTCCTGCTCCCTCTGTTCAGACTGATAATATAACTTTACTGTTATCCCCTGAATTAAATGTATCATGTATCCTGCTGTATGAGTGACCACCGGTTTAGTATTTCGTTTCACTTTATCAATAAGTAACGTCAGTAGTGTTTGGCTATTCTGTAGATTGTATCCCTTCATACATTTAGATTAAATTAAAAGTTATTTGTGACACTTTAGCAGCACTTCCTCGTATAATCTAGCGCTATGTTGTGTAAAATAGCTGCACCTTGATTGGTTAAATTTAAACTATGCATATTTCTGAGACCAAAGCAACATTAAATGTTGGTTTAGAAAAAAAGTTTATACTCTGCTGATATGAATTCGTAAATTAAAGACTAACTGCTGAATGTTGTTGTCTTTTCACCAGGGGCTGTTCCACTGTGACCAGGTCCAGTACACACTGGTGCCAGTTACAGGCTGGCAGGACCTCAGCACGGCCTTCCTCGAACACAAAGAGCAGGTGAGCTCAAGTCGGACCTGAGCGTATGTGTGATTAAATGACAGGATGAGCAAGGAAGAACCAAGGTTTTCCCCCCCACTGTCACTTTAAACTGTTAAGTGTATAATCTTGGTGTTTCGTGTGTTGTAGTTTCGCTATTTTGTTCTCATCAACTGCGGGGCGAACGTTGACCTTCTGGAGACGCTGCAGCCGGATGATGACTCCGTCTTCTTCATCTGTGACACTCACCGGCCTGTAGATGTGGTCAATGTCTACAATGACTCCCAGGTGATGCATAATGATCAATTCAGCTCAAACAGCCGTTTGTCTTTATTAGCTTGTGCGGTGGCAAAGCACGTCCTCCCGTTTATCTTTTGTGAGCGATACAACAAAGGAAGGAAATCGTGCTCCCATGCTTCATGCTTACTCTTGTGGAAAACTCTTCATCCGCAGATCAAGCTGCTAATCAAACAGGACGATGACCTCGGCGTTCCTCCGTACGACGACATCTTTCGAGATGAAGATGACGAGGAAGGAGGAGACTCTGGAAATGAGAGTGACGAAGGCTCGGAGCCGTCTGGGAAACGGCGGAGATTTGACGAAGTGCGTATTTTGAATACGTCGCCGACATAAATCAGAAGAGTGTTGACGTGGCTCTAATGGTTGTGTGACTGTGTTTGTCATTGCAGGGGGCAGTTGAGAGGAGAATCGACAGGCAGCGAGCGAAGAGGGAGTGGGAGGCACGGAGGTGAAGTGTTTTTAAGGAGGCGGAGTGGTGTTTGTCATATTATAGTCGTTACAATTTGTGAATTGACACTAATGTTTCACTCATTTCTCAGGCGGGAAATCTTGTTTGACTATGAGCAGTATGAATATCACGGGACCTCTGTGAGTAGACAGACGCTTTTTAAAATGTACTTTTTCATACTTTTTAGAATCCTGCAAACCTTTTTAAATATCTCCGTACACAATTGAGAGTTCATTATGCTCAGCTGTATGTTGACTTGTGTTTTACATATCCTGTTATTATTCCTGAATACTGAGGTTTTAATCGTGTGTTTCATGTGTCTTACGTCAGGCTGCGCTGATGTTTTTTGAGTTGGCGTGGGTATTGACCAAAGACACCAAGGACATGCTCTGGTAAGCTATGTCATTTTATTTTAAATGTAATACAAATTGTGAAAGCGCACTGGCCAGACTTTTAGATGTGGACTATCTTGTTTGTTTTTTTGTCTTTGCAGGTGGGCCGTCATTGGCCTGACAGACCAGTGGGTTCATGATAAAATCACACAGTAAGAATATATTTAATATTTCAAAACACAGTTCTCCAAAACATCAATCGATTTTCCTTAGAATTTAATCACAAGATGCATTTGCTTTATGTGAATTATTCTTGTCCGCCTGGTTCCTTTTCTAGTATGAAGTATGTGACGGACATCGCCACCATGCAGCGTCACGTTTCCCGACACAACCACCGGAACGAGGACGAGGAGAACTCGCTCTCCATCGACTGTATGAGGATCTCCTTTGAATACGAGTATCCTTAATTAACCCGACATGTTGTCGGAGTGGATCTTTTATATTGTTTACCCTTTTTACGGTCATAGTGGCAGAAATCACTATATTTAATTTTTTGTAGTTTTCCTTAACGCTCTTCTTCAGCCTCCGTCTCGCCCTCTACCAGCACTGGTCCCTGTATGAGAGCATCTGTAATTCCTGCTACACGTCGTGCAACTTCAAGCTGTGGACGTTAAATGGCCAAAAGAAGCTCCAGGAGTTCCTAGCTGACATGGGGTGAAGGGCCACTGCCTGGACGTCAGTACTTTTGTTTGTGAATTAGAGCTGCCTCGCTTGTTTTAATGGCTGACATTTGCTTTTCAACAGGCTGCCTCTGAAGCAAGTGAGGCAGAAATTCAACTCCATGGACATGTCGATCAAAGAGAACCTGAGGGACGTCATTGAGGAGTCTTCCAATAAATATGGGTATGAATCCAGATGTTACCTGAAGACACTCTGAAGCATTTATTGACCGACAGCCTGAAATGATTAGTCTTTATTTTTATTTATTCCCCCCTCCTCCATCAGCATGAAGGACATCCGCATCCAGACATTTGGCGTTCACTTTGGCTTCAAGAACCGCTTCCTGGCCAGTGACATGGTGCATGCGACTGCTGCCTTGCTGGAGAGCACTGAGAAAGATGAGAGCGCCAGCGACAACTTCATCAAGGCTCTGGACTCTCTTTCCAGGTTTGTGGCTGCGTTTTGATAAAGACGACCAGAACGAGTGGTTTAAAGCTGTAAAAGTATCTAAATGTTTATAATCCGATTTTATATAAGAGGGGGGGGGGGAATACTTGTGTCAAATGAACTGTTGGTGTGTTTTTCCTCTTAGGAGCAACCTCGACCGTCTACACTCGGGCATTGACCTGGCTAAGAAGAAGCTGATGGCCATCCAGCAGACGGTCGCCAGCTGCATCTGCACCAACCTCATCGTGTCGCAGGGACCCTTCCTCTACTGCTACCTCATGGAGGTACGAGTGTCCGAATGATGCGCCTGTAACGGCAGATCCATGCTGCTCGGCTCAACACTTTTCCTCCTGCTGCTCTTTCACGTGTAGGGAACACCGGACGTGAAGCTCTTCTCTAAGCCCATGGCCTTGACTCTGCTCTGCAAGTACCTCCTGAAGTCTTTTGTCCATTCCGTGAGTATCTTACTGCCGTCGGCTGGATCGCACTGTGAAGGAAGAAGCTTTTATTCGTTCGCTCTGAAAAATGCACCGCTGTTGGCCTCACTCGTTGTGTTTTGTTTTTTATTTTTTTGTGGCCTAGACGAGGAATAAGCGCTGCAAACTGCTTCCTCTCATCATGGCGGCTCCCAAGGACGTGGAGAAGGGCTCCGTCATTGTTGTGGGAATCCCGCCAGAGTCCGAGACATCTGACAAGAAGAAGTAAGACCTCACTTTTTCTTTTTTAAATATGTGGGATATGTGCAGAGCAAGGAATATTCTTAATAAATAATATCTGTCATAATCATTCATTTTTTGTGTAAAATATAACCCTAGAATCTGAGATTACTAATTAGTAAAATATTACATATCTGGTATAGTTTTTGCTATTCTGTTCCCGCTATGTAATGTGATGCTTTGGAGATAAAATAATACTTTTGTGTCACATCTTTTGCTGATTTATTCTGTTAATCACAGAAACAATAGTTAAGGTTTCTGGCGATGCACTAATCATGTAATCGACTCACTTTGTGTTGTGTGCGGCTGAAATGCCTCGTTCCCGCAACTCTGCACCTTGTCTCTCTGTACTCTAACAGTTTCTTCGGTCGAGCGTTTGAGAAAGCCGCAGAGAGCACCAGCTCCAGAACTCTTCACGACAACTTCGACACCTCAAGTAAGACTGACATCTACTTTTCTCATGTGTTGTGTCCTGGTCCTCATTAAAGTCCTTACGAGTGGGGAGTTGTCCGTCTCTTCATCAGACACTAGGGGGCAGCCTCGTCTTCATTTCAAGCAGAGCTTCAGTTATCAGCGCTCATGTCACAAAGGAGATTTTTGTGATGTGCATTAGTTGACACTTGTTTCCTTCAGCATTCGTTCATTCTTGCCCGTGTTTTGTTTCTCTGCAGTAATTGAACTGAAGACGGAGGACCGGAGCAAGTTTCTGGACGCACTCATCACCCTCCTGTCGTGAGAGGGAACATGAGCCTGAGTCTGGGTTTGGGTCTTGAACAGAGTTGGTATCGGGCATGTACGGTGCCACCCATAAGAGAACTTTCTCCATGATTTCAACGTGTATATTGTACAGTCTTTGTAAATGTGTGGAAGTCTTATTTTTGCTTTTAAATTCTTGTCACGTTTGTCTTTTTATTCCCGTCTGTATGTGAGTCGCTCGTCACATTTTTACATTTTAAACATGTTTAATAAATCTTAGTTACTTGAATGTTGTTTCTTGGAGTTTTTGAGACATGAGAGCTGTGAAATGTGGAAAATCTTTTTCTCTCGTGTCCTGTATAAATATGATTTGAGCTCTGCTTTTTAGATTCATATTGTTAAATGCTATTGTTAGGTAGCTCTAATTATCTCTTTATACACGCCTTTTATAGTTGTGTTGTGTTTTTTTTGCTGGCCAGTCTCTGAATGAGTGATCCCACGTTCCACATGGATGACCTGTTTTACTTCACTCAGAGGCTTGCAGTGTGAGATTTTGGACAGAAGTTATAATGTCAAATACTCCAAATCATGTCCTTTTTGTCATTTCCTGTCTTCTATTTAGTCGCCTAAAAATTACAGCGCTAAAAGAGCAAAACTTAAATTTTGTAAGAAGGAACTATCAGGTGACAGATTCTCCTGCCTGTCGGTAAAAGATGGCCTGGTGTGTGACGGGCTGACGGAGATAAAAAAAATGTAAATGTAGAATTACTGAAGCATGTTTCCGAGATATTTAGTTTTTTGCTCCCGATACATATTCTGATACCTCAACTCAGTAGTCTCTCTTCCCCAAATAGAAAATCTGTAAACCTCATCAATTGGAATAATCATTGTATAAGTTGACATGAGAACAAGGATGTTTGTTTTCTAACAATATTGACAAAAAAACAACTGGTTGTCACGGTGTTATTCCCCTTATTCCCTCCTAAGGTTAGGATCAGTGCATCCAACACTTACCAGCGCTGCTGCTTTGATATTTCAGTTGGTTATAATGGTCATTATGAAGAAGAAAAAAGAGAATCATACTGAAGAGGGTGGCAATGTATTAAACCCAATAATCCTAAACCTGTATACCTTAAATATAAAAACGACAACATAGAAACACCTGTTTTTTTGTTTGTTGGTAATAATTTCCTCCAGACGGAAGTATTCCACAAGTAAAAACACTATTATAGGAAATGAGATTTCTTTTTTTGGATGGTCCCACTGAGCCACGTTAAGAAGCACCATTGTTAGTTTGTGGGCAAAAAGGACCTCATCCATTAGTCATAAGTGAGGTTGAACTTTCTCTCATGTCGTGAAAACAAAGATCTGGCAGTGAGTGTCCTCTGTTGGTAGTCACAGCGTGTGGTGGCAGAGGGCGATCCAAACCGATTACAGTCTTTTCATCTGGATCCAATCTCTTGTTTTGCTGACACGACTTGTGTATTTCCACGAAAATTAATAGTGTGTGTGTGTGTGTGTGAGACTCCGAGTGAAACTATTTTAGCTTTAATGAACTTAACTTCTTCTCCTGAGCTCAATCCGCTCATGTGGGGCAAAGGTGAGGGCCCCGGGCCCTGGCGCGCATGCGCACTGGAGAAAGTAGGGCCGGGGGCCTCCCAGTGGTGATTTAACCGTCGGTCCAGAGAGCGACTGGAGTGCTGGAGCCTAAGCTCGCTCTCTGTGGGGTCATTAAGATCCTTATCACTCTTGGATCAGGATGCGATGGTGACCTTACAGAGCGGAGGGTGTTAGGGCGGGTTTTTTTTACGGAAAAGTCCTGGACTGAGCGACAGCGGCGGGACTGAAACGTGCCGCGATCCGCGTCGAGCTGAGGCAAGGGGAGGTCGAGTTAGTGTGCCTCATCATCATCATCATCATCGTCATCACTTAATTCTGTATGAATGCCTGCGTCTCGTCGCTTCCTCTGAGTTTGAGAACTATTTACATCCATAATGATGCTGTTTACAGTCGCAGCAGCGTGATGTTATCCAGGAGAATTAATGTCCCCAATTGAAAGGAAGAGCCATTTATATCATTAACGAGGGCGGAGAGGAGGGTTATTTTTAGAGACCTGATTGCTGAGAAACGTGTCTGTCTGCTCATCCCCTTTATCTCTTCTATTTTTAACTCTTTTTTTTTTTGTCTTTTTTTCTGCTACGGTTGTAATTTAAACATTTTAGTTAGACGAGAGAATCCCACTGCGAGCTGTTTTGGAGCTTTTATTGCCTTTTTTCAATTTTTAACATAACACTCAGCACTGCACAGTTCTGAAAAACTAGTATAATATAAACAAATAATGATATCTACTCCGGTGTGGCAGATCATGGCAGGAAAGCAGAGTAAAGTGGGTACAAGATTACGGGATATTTATATTTGAAAAAGTTAAAGCAACTGATTGCAATAATACTTTTCACGAAAAAGGTTTTCTGTCAACTCCCAGTGACTTCAGGAACAACTGAGTCCAAGTTATACACAAAATAAACATGGGGCCTGTGGCATTAATACAATTGGTAAGTTAGCTGCCTTTTTATTTCTCAGAAACTTGCCAGTTTCAAAAATAAATCGTAACTGTGACTATAGGATAACTGTCCATCAAACACTTCTACAAAAATAGATTTTTGGAAGTTACGAATCTATTTAAAGTCTTAGATAATCAGAACCTCGATTCAACATGATTTGATTGTTTTCCCCAACGCATGACCCAGTCCAAATATGTTCATGGTATCAGAGAGCAGGCTATGGTGTCTGAGGGGCTTCTCTCTGAGAGCCCAGCACAGTGCTAACTGCCAAATACTGGATCGAGGGAGGCCAAACTCCTGGATTAATTCTTCAAAAGAGTCCAGTATGTTCTGGAGCTTTTGATCATATTATATGATCTTTATCAGCTGATGGAATCGCAATGTTGTGGATGTTATAGTCGAGCACTTTTGAGGCTTTTGTGTTGGCTAAAACTCTGAGGTTCAAAGTTCATGAAGCTGCAGTAGAGAACAGGGTCCCTTCAGTTAGGGGCGTTCTAAGCATATAAACCAACACGGGTGAGAAATCCTTAAACGGGGGTGATATAACTTTTGCTAAAAAGTGACCACTGTGGCCATAAGTCGCAAAATACATCATACAACTTGGCACGATGTATTCACTTTTCGCGATGAGACCACTGAAGTGTCGATCTGTGACACGTTCAAACGTATGGCAGCAGCACAAATACAGTGGAGTCTGGAGATTGTTTTCTCAAATGCAGTTTCTGTGGTCAAGAGTGAACTTTGAACCTCGTGTTTTAGTTTTCCTCAGTGTCGCGCTGTGTTTCTACAAGTCCTCTCTTTGACTGAACGACTGCTGATTTCAACCGGACTCTTACCTGGCCAGTGAGCACAGACGTAGCGTCGGTCGGTCGGTCGGTGTTCCAGTGAGGAGATCCACCTGTTCTTCAGCCCATCATTTGGTCTTCTCTCCTCAGCCATCAATCACTTTGCTCTCCATACCCCCCCCCACCACCACCCTTTTTGCACCTCTGGTGAAGTGGCGCCGCTGGCCTTTCCGCCGCTCTGCATTGGAGGAATGTGGCATGCAACAGGCCCAACACACACACACACACACACACACACACATTGAGGGAAACATACCCCCCCATACAGCCGACGTGTAGATGTGCAGAGCGGCATTTCTGAAGGCCTCCCACTCAAACGGGCGCGTTGCCTTTTGCTCCTCAGGGGTGAGCTGCTGAGTGGAGCTCTCGGGGATGTTTGTGGGAAGTAATGATGCAGTATGTTGTGGCTTATATGATTATTTTTGCAGTATTTTACCATATTATCCATATGCAACTACCAGTCTGAGCTTTGATATTGTACATACATACATGGCTAGATGCCACTTGTCATACATATTGATCTGTATGAAACCGGCATAAAAACCTGTTGTGTTTAGTTTAGGGTAAGATGAAGTTAATTATAATATTCTTTCACACAGGCTGCAGCAGTCTTCATATGACAACCGTTGTTATATAGTTGCAACTTGCAACGCAGCTTAATACTTGCGATTTTGTCCTTGCATAATATAACTATTCACATAAATCTGACAATTCCCATAACACAATAAATTTCCTTTTTGTTGTCTTATATAGGGGATACGTGATTTTTTTCTCCTTTTACAGCACACATAAATCTTTAAATATATGTATATATATATATATATATATTATATATATAGAGTATATACTGGATATCATTGTCATCATTTTTGATAGCATAGATGAGTAAAAGTTACTGTATGTCACTGAACCTTTCATAAACCATCCCTTTTCAAAATCACTTCAATTTACCCAAATCAAAATATTGGAAAGCCGATACTGGACTGTTAAGATAGATGTTTATATTTGAGAGTTACATAAATCACCCCTGAAGTGCTGCACACTGTTCCTTTAAAAAGTGAGCACAGACAAACTTTCCTCCCTCAGCAGATGATGAATGTAAAAACAGCCCTCTCGTGTCACAATCTGCTCACACGTCATTTTACACTGTGAAGCTCAAACACTGAAGTAACAAAAAGCAAAACACACTTTAAATGTGTCATAAGGGAAACATGTTTTTAACAATCTAAAAATAAACTCATTAGTTTTGTTTCTAAATGACCTAAAACATATCTTCGACATATTTGTACTAAAACTCAAAATCTCTGCTTGTTCAACAATAACAGAGTTTAGCAACTAGTGTGGTTTTATATTATCAAACATTATTATATTAAGCTTGACAATTTGCTTAGATGTTTGCCGCCATTACAACTTGTTGCCATTGGTGACAAGGACACAGTGTCCTTTATTGAAATCAACTGTCGCTGAAGTTGAATTATTTTCACCCTGCGAGTATAAAATCTGTGGACGGTTCAGTTTATCTCTTAGCTGGAGTTTTGTAATATGTCCTGTGAAATAAGAATTACTAAGAATTGCTCCACTTCCTTTTTTCCTCTCTCATCCTTCTCCAACAGTCTCAACTATTTTCATCCTGCCCCTCTCGTGCGTCTCTAACAATCCCAGATTCCAGATAGGATTAGTTTTACCGGACAGCCGGAGACAAAGACCTACAGCTGACTGTCTCCCAGTCATGCTGTGAGAGGATGCTCACACACACACATATATACGCTCACACACAGGCTCAGTATATGGTAAACTACAAACATTTCTCTGAAATCCACCACGTTTAGAACCAGTAAAAACATCCCCACTTCCGTCCTGCTGCTGCTGCTAGCTTCATGTCA